ATTTACAGTACAAGCTTCAGTTGCTTATAAATGATATGTGAAATTTTTGTAATAGCACTGATGTTTTATTGACTTATTCTGTTGGACTTTACCAGTACTTTACCGTGACTTACCACAGATGCCATCAACTAACACATAAATAAGCATGCATTATTTGTTCTTGGCTATTTGTAAGGTGAATTCAATTCCCTTTTTAAAGAATTCAAACGAAACTACCTCTTTAAGTTTACATTAATGTAACGAATTAAAAAAAAATTCGTTGACAACTAAATCTCATGCTGTGTATCAAAGTTGCCATGTTGAAGGTTTTGTAGTGAATCGTGTTGATTCATGTCCAATAACCCAGTCCTCGCAACTTCCAACATACGTCCCTCCTTTTCACGACCTGCCCGTCAGTCATGTGAGACCGCTGGTTCATTAACCACTGTGCGTATCCCACTACCAACCGTTTTATTCATGTGACCTCACAGACACCTGTGTTTAGTTTTGTACAAGTCCACTGAACCGTAATTGTACACGACACAACCTTGTTGAGTTGTCTAGTAAACGGTTGTGCCCTCTCAGCTCTGGTCTTCTTTATTTCCGCGGGAACACAGGGTACCGTATTCGGCGTATATTGTCGCAGTGGCCCCGGTGTGGTTCAAAACAACATGCCGGGTCCCTCAACAGTTTTCATACTTTATGAATTCTGTGAATCTCTCCTTTATCTCTTCAGTTCAACGCTCAAATTTTGATTAAATATATGAACAACCCACATTTCAAATTACCTGAGTAAGAAGTTGAATTATAATAAGCCCTTTGCCTCTCATTAAAAATGATTTGTTTTAAGCTTGTGATCTTACCAGATAAGTATCATTTCTATTGTATAGTCTAAACTATCTTATGCATGCAGAAATGATAGGAGCTAAGAGTTTAGTGCAGTTTTGGACAAGGGTTAATGTAACAAATGCTACAGTATATTTTTTTAGAAAAACATTCGGTGACTTATGCCACAACGATTTACATTCACATTAAGCTAGCAAGTTTAAGTAGGTCCTGTCAAAGGTATCTAACTTTAGTCCGAACTTACCAGCAGAATTTTCTCATGTAAAATAGTATTGTGCTTAAGATGCATGTTTATGTGCACTCAGGAACCCCTCTTCGGTTCAGACTTCCACCCAATTCTTGGACCGCGTGTAAGCCCCAGGCGAAACAACGCAGGAATAATACACCGAACTCTCCCTTCTCGCGCGTTTAGCCTATCCCCCAGACGAAGTAAACGCACCCCTACTGCCCCTCTTCGTGACAGGCGTCCGAGATTCAACATTACACCAACAATTTGGAAGCAAAGTCACTCAGTCTCTGGATAAAGTCTTTGCTATCATTGAACGTGCCATGTCGTTCCAATTCTACACACCCCACATACCTACCTTTACAGTAACCAAACCTTCCTAGGTCCACACAATTACCCTAGCTATACTCTTTCAGCTCCCCAACTCTACCCTAACACATCCACATCCCCCTCTGCTCAGACAACATTTGGTAACCGGCGACCCCCTATTATCCCCCCAAAAATTCACACCTATTTAGGATTCCGACCTCTAGAAGTTCGGCTTTTGCAGACTTTTCATCATGTCTGCCATACACTGCTAAAGAGTTAACTTTCTCTGCTATCTCTGTCCTTTTTACCAAATCTCACGCTCTGGCGGTCCATGGTCATGCAGAGTCTCACAAGTCCGCTATCCTTATTGACACGGAAGCAGCAGGGTCCATAGTCAACCCCAAGTTTTCCGCCATTGTACACCTCTTATTGTCGATCCTCTATACCCCAATTGTTTTTGCAGCAAACAGCGCCACACTGAATATCACAGGCTCAGTTACGGCCCCGGGCTAAGGTCGGTTTGATCCAAGTCCAACATTCGTTTATTGTCTCTCCGGTTTGCTGGTGGGATATCGTCATGGAGTAAGACTTCCTATGCACTCATAAGTGTGTCATCGACTGCTATACGGGCAAGGTTGGTAGTGTACAACCGGAGCCTTCTTCCTCAGTGCTCAACGTTGACGCTATCAGCTCCCCATCAGAACCCCCATCGATAACCGACATTCTTCCCTCTAACATTCTGCTGGATAGTTGTCTCCAATAACCTGAGGTTCTGACACAGTTTACCATTGTGTTCAACTTGGCAGGTGAGCAGATTGGAAAAGCTAACATTATCCAACACATCATCAAAAAAACCGACAACGCTCCCTCACGACGAATACCGATACACTACCAAGCAGACCTAGACAACCTCATAGGCCACCGTCTTCGACAAGGCATCATTACCTCATCACCCTCCCCAAGGGCCCCACCAGTCACCCTCGTCAATAAGAAAAATTGCTCCCTTCGACTCTGTATCGACTATCAGTAGCTTAACGCGGTAAAAATTCGTGACTCTTTTCCTCTCCCTCGTATAGACGATCTCCTTCATGCTCTGGCCGAGCAAAAGTATTTCTTTACTCTCAACCTCTCCAGAAGTTATTGGCAAATAGAGATGCATCCAAAAGTTCGGGAGAATAGAGCGTTTACGCTACCCTCTGGTCCCTATGAGTTTTGCACTCTTCCCATGGGCTTAGCCAACACAGCCAGCCAACTGTCAACGGCTAATGCAAAAAGTTCTTCAGGGCCTCCTCTAACGAAAATGTCTGATCTATCTTGACGATGTCATGGTGTTCCGCTTAACTGAGAATAAGGTGCTGGGCAAACTAGCTGATGTTCTCCACAGATATCGACAATTTGATCTGATCTTGGATACGTGGTGTCGGAGTCTAGACACTTTGCAGGCCCTGATAAACTTACCTAGTTAAGGATTGGCTCACCTCCGCAGACGAAGTGCGGTCGTTCTTAGGCCTGACCGACTACTACCTCGCCTTCATCCCTCCGTACAGCTGAATCGCATTCCCCTACGGCGGCTTGCATAAAAAGGGCAGTTCCTTCGACTGGTCATCGGAGTGCGAAAAGCCTTCACACAATTTAATAAAGCACTAACTGCGGCCCCCATCTTGATGTTTCCGAATCTAGACCCCAAGGCACCGTCATTCATTCTGGACACCGACGCTAGTAGCCACACCATAGATGCAGTCGTATCCTAAAGCGGAAACGTTGGCGCAAAAACACGTTATAGCATACGCAAGTAGGGCCTAAGATCAGATTAAACACAATTGCAGCACCACTAGACGCAAACTTCTGGCTCTTGTTGCGTCCACTAAATCGTTTGCCGTGTACCTGAAACAAAAACCCTATGTGATTCAATCCGACCAACGGTCTCTCAGTTGGTTGTGGAGTTTCAAAGAACCGGATGGTCAACTAGCCCGGTGGCAGGAGACCCTAGCCAACTTTAATTTCTAATTGGAATTTTGCTCGGGGAAGAAACGTGACAACGCAGACGCCCTATTTTGTCTTCTGACTCTTCAACTGATTCCCAATATCCCGGGCGACGTCAATGTCCTCACAAATCACTCCAACACAATAGATTGGTCAAAACCGCACGCAGAGGATCCTAACACGGCTCTACGGTCAACGCAAACCTTCAGCTAAAGAAATGAGTGTCCAAAGTCAAGGTACCCACTTCCCCTCGACAACGTCCTTTACTTCCAATTCGACACAAACCCCCTTCTCGTCTTGTGTTTCCTCCATCAGAGGCACGCGCTGTTCTCACCGGCCTTCATAGCCAATTGGGCCACCCCGGACAGGGCAAATTAGACAAGGCAGCTTGCGAACGCTTCTGGTCACCGGATTTAAGACAGGAAGTTCGTCTGGTCTGGTCCTCGAGTTCCATCTGTTTTCCATTAAAGGACCCCAATCACTGTCTAATTGCCCAGCTTCAACTCTTTACCTCAGGCTCCGTCAAACAAAGAGTAGGTATTGACATTATGAGCCCATTGCCACAATCAAGTCTGGGGAACGGGTACCTCCCGGTATTGGTCAACTTCTTTTCCAAATGAGTGGAAACGTGAAAACGCGCACAACCCATTACCATCCCATGGGTTACGGTCAAGCTGAAAGGACTAACAGATCTCTCCGATCTCTCCAACGCACCCTTATTTCCACAACCAGCTCATCCCACATTGGCTACATGCCTACAAATGTTCAGTAAACCAGTCTACTGGATATTCCCCGCAAAATCCAAGCCGCCTCGACTTACAGTTTACAGTCTACACACAACTTGTAGATATTTCTCTGCACCACGAGCGCCCTCCTTTGACAATACCTGAACTCCATTAAAGAAAATCAAAAACGCTTCTAAGAGGGCATGGCTTCACCAAACCTACACAAACCGCGGCAGCCACACGAAATTGGACAAACCCTACCCAGGCCCCTTTGTGGTCGTCCAATGACTCCCTAAAAAAACCTACCACATTTTCCCAGTTTTCCACGTATCCGCCTTTCCTCTTACAGTTCACTTTAATCGCTTCAAATCTGGACTTAAGACACCGGATACAGGCATTCCAGTCTACCACACAGTCGAAATTCTAAACAACATTCCATCATTATTAATCAACATTTGGCAAATTATCGAGTGATACGATTGCGATGAAATTTGGTCGTTGGTGTCATTAGTAAATGAAGTAATTAGCTTGGAATGCATTTATAAGTTATATGTTAGTTTTCTTAAATCTCTGTTATTTTTAGTAAATATATTCGCAGCATCATCTTAACCAATTTCTATGACAGTGTGCTGAAATCTACGTCAATTTTCACTTGAATTATCAATTTTTGCATTTCAAGATTGAGCTTTAAAGACTAGAAGCTTACCATATATTTGTGATAGAGCGTTTGTCAAATCAAAGCTAAAAACCTAATTGAATCGTATGCAGTTGATGACTTAATCAGATGAGTGGTCTGAAATAAACAATTTTTTGCAAAACCAGTTTGCGTAATGAATTAACCTGACGATTTGAATTGCCATTCCATGATTATATCTAAGATAGTGTACTCAGAATTAATTGCATTACAGTGATACGCCTGAAAATTAATTATTTGCATCATAAAGATCTCAAATGTCTTGAGTACCAAGTACTTCATTTCACTGATATGTTTGAACCAATTTCAAGTCGCAAAATTTTGCTAAGATGTACAGTTTGGACGGTGGATAGTTTTTCGACTTTCAACATATGCTGTAAGTATGCTACCCGCAGTAGTTTGAGTCGCGTTATTTGAACCAAGTAAACTAATCTTCGAGGAATTAATATTATAAGAAATAACTCCATTTGTTTGATACCAATGTTATCGATAACTTAAGATAAAACAACTGAAAGAAAAAAAAACAAATATCAACATAGTCACCTTTAGAAGCATGTGATGGGCGTATATTAAATTGCAGGAACTGTTTTACTCTTAGGCACTACTTAATTAACAAAAATCGAAAAAAGGATTTTGATGACATTTTTCATGACCCGCATTTAACAAGTGTTCATTAATAGCAAATTAATTACAATATCTTACACAATTTTTTTGTGATTTTTTTAATTGGGATGCGTGATTTTCTATCCTAACATTCATCAGATAAAAATGAGTACGTTTAAGTTTAGCAGGTTGTTGGTGCATCCTTCAAACGGGATAATGAGCGATCGTTAGTTTTTACAGGTCTTTTGTGTGTGCTTGATCTTGATTTTCTCGGTGAAATTTGCAGTTCATGGTGTACCTGTATGCTAATGTCTCGCGAACCCAGGGAAACAGGATCTAGGTGTTGCACATCTATAGGAGACGCAGATGTTGTGCCTTCCCCTCTAGGCCAGTTGTCATCAGAGACCCAGGAAATTTTCGATGCTTGCCGTCTAGGCGACCTGTCTCGTGTTATAGCGTTTCTTGACAGTGGTGTTCCCGTAAATGTCAAAGATACCACTGGTAGAAAATCAACGCCACTGCATTTCGCGGCGGGGTATGGTAGACTGGACGTCGTTGAGCTCTTACTTATCAGAGGTGCTGATGTTTCAGCAAAAGACGACGGAGGTAAAGTGACATAAATTTTTCGTAGTGTTCCAGTTATTTAGCTAAAATGTGCGGTTGACAAAATGTATATGTTACCTTATTGCCTTTAAAATCGATATATCAGTTATTTCGTGGCCCTTGCTCCTTATTCATAGCTACCTGTCCAATTACTTTATCATTTGATTTACCTTAAACACGTTGGTGTGAAGTTCTTTAAATTTTATTTCAAATTCAATTTGGTGCTCCTGTTTAGTAATCTATATCACTTTCCGTCCCAGGCCTGATACCGCTGCACAACGCCTGCTCATTTGGCCACACCGATGTTGTCCAAATGCTACTAGCGGCAAAATCTGATCCCAATGCTCAGGACAATTGGCACTACACACCTTTGCACGAGGCTGCCATCAAGGGTAAAGTCGATGTTTGCATTCTGCTTCTCCAGGTACGCAAAGGCATCTCTTTTACTTCTGAGTTTATTTTTTTTTCATCGTTTCATTTATGTTTTTTCGCTTTTAGGCCAAGGCCGATCCGCTCATGAAAAATCTTGACGGCAAGACACCTCTTGACTTTGCAAAGGGACCCACTGCCTTGGTGTTGGTTGGCGATTTTCGCAAATCCGAACTCCTGGAGGCTGCTCGAATGGGGAAGGAGGAGAAGTTGATTTCTTTGCTGACACCCCAGAACATAAATTGCCACGCCGATGACGGTCGAAAGTCCACTCCTCTTCATCTGGCCGCGGGCTATAATAGGTGCGTTTGCTCATCTTTACTGAACAACCACTGAAAGACTCGTTTTGGTTGGCTTGAAAACAAATTCTCACAGTCAATCTGTAGCTGATTTAATATCTGGTGTCACGACTACACCTCCCATTGTTGTTAAAGTTATCAGATTTAAAATGAAAAGTGCAATAGAGGCGTACGCACTGAAATTTTACACCTTTTTTCAATGGTAATTGGGTTTCATTGCTCCCAATTTCTGTCTCGTCTACTTAAGACTTTCGCATTTTGCCTCGAATGGCGGTCTAGGCTGTGAAAAAGCCAATTGTTGTATGCTAATTTGGACAAAAATAGCGACAAAAAGGTCCGTGTTCTGCTCCAAAAGTAGATTTTTGGCTTGTTTCTGATTGAGTAAATCTATAGTGTGTTAAACAACGTATTATAACCGTGTGCAACATATTCTGGTAGATCGTGTTCTAGCGAACAAATTTAAATGTGACGCTTATCAAGAATCAGAATTAAAACAATGAATGATTTCAGAACATCGTGGCCAATTGGGGTTTTAGCAAACAAAGCGAGGAGATAAACAATTCTTGATGATGGGACACATTCGGTTTATTTTATGGTACATTAATCCTCGCTCAGCCGATGTGTTTAGCGATGTGATTATTTGTGGTTTTTGAACAAGGCCTTCGCTCCTGAAACACCGACCATTCGTTCTTTAAGTTAAAAGAACGAAAGGTTAAACTTGTGTCTGTGCAATAATCTTTTTCGGTCGATGGAATAGTGAGGCAATCCTGAAGGATCACGTTGGTGCAAATCACTAGCGTTACACGCGGGCACTTTTAGTTCCTCTAAGAATGAAAACAAACAGTCAATCAGAAGTCTCTTTGCTTGCCTTTGTTTTTTTAGCTAGATAACTTAGCCTATTTGAACTGCGGTGGAATATAAAGTCTTCGCAATCCCATTTAAATGTCTACATGAGATTTCTTTGAAGGCACAAGTTTTTCGGGTCGACATAACTTCACAGACTTACATCTGCTGGCTTAACTTGATCAAACCTGGGATGTCATTTGGTTGTAGAGGCGGTTCATCGAGCATTTCGTCTAGAAATGCCGTGGCTGTCGAGCAGTGTTCAATTGCAGAACTGCAACAAATATATTAGACACCTAGTGCATTAGTTTGCTGAACCGTCTTTAAATCACGTGAAATAAGATTGGGCCACGGTCGAAGTCCTTAATCTCAACACTTTTGGCAGCATTGCCAGGTTAACCTCTACCATGACAGGCAGCCAATCTCGTGATACTTCATTTTAAACCTTTCTTGCTGTTGCTTTTCGAGTTTTAAACATCTCAATTCTAAAAGACGTAAATGCACATCTTGAATAAGTTGATTCGTCGAATTCGTCTTGGAAGTCATTCATTTTTGAATAAGCCCACCAAACCCTCAACATCAAGCGTTACAATAACAAACAGTAAGCACATACAGCACTTATGCAGAAACCAATTGTCTGCCACGTTGGGACTATGTGCGTTTTGCTGGTCCACTGAGCAAGTTTGCAATTGGCGCCCAGTGGGAATGTCAATAAAAACAACGCACTAATCAATGACGACCGCAAACTTCCTCATGCCCTCCCTTTGCAGAACGCGCATAGTGCAAATTCTTCTGGCCGCCGGTGCGGACGTGCGTGCCAAGGACAAGGGTGGTCTCATTCCCCTGCACAACGCCTGCTCCTACGGTCACTTGGAGGTGTGCGAGATGCTGATCGCGGCGGGCGCGGCCGCCGAACAGGTCCACGCCGCCGATCTCTGGCAGTACACACCGCTGCACGAGGCCGCGAGCAAATCGCGCGCCGAGGTGTGCTCGCTCCTATTGGCCCACGGCGCAGATCCCCACCAGGCCAACATCTACGGCAAAACCGCCGTCGATTTGGCCCCCACCGCCGATCTCAAGGAGCGCATCACCTACGAACACCGAGGTCAGTCCGTCCGGTGGGGTAATGCAGGGTTTGGTGGAGTTCCCTGGGAGCGTACGTGATGCGGAGGTTTGGTGGGGTTCGCTTGGGGCGTATGTGATTGGTCAAATCAGATGGTTGCGAAAAACTCGTGTCCAAATTGCATTGACCGCGCCGATGTTACTTTTACAGTTGCCAGTTGTGTAAGTGCGCTGTAAGTTAACCCAACCTTAACGAGGAAGTTTACGCAAATTAGTTTGTGTGCAGGGCTATTATATCAAAATGGGGAATGGAAAGTCACGTTTTTGTCATTTTATGTTGTGTGAGTTTAAGCAAGTCAACAATAATTTGGCCTTGGGACATAAGCATCGCCACCCATTAATCTCCGCATCTATTCTCCATCGCGATGTCAGCTGTGTCGGTTGGTTTGTAAACAGCGTGGCGGGGTGCCGCAGCTGATTGCTGTCACCTGATTGGCTCGTCAGGTTATCGATTACTAATCGCCTCCGTTAGCCAATGTCTGCTTTGCACAGGCGTCCAATCGTATGCGTGCGTGCGTCCTTGTTCGCCCCTGTTGAAAAGGCATTTCTTCGGCATTTTTATGCAGCGCCATTGCTGTTTTTCGTGAAAACTTTAAATAATGCACTTATTTGAAGCGCCAAATCGTGATTTTTGTGGCTCTTGTCAAAATCTACCGTCATGGGCCCTGCTTTTTTTTGTCTCTTTATTACTGACAATTAATGCGCCCCTCTTATCCCACAACCATTTTCGTCGTCATCACTCAAATGTAGGCCTTGCCTCAAAAAGAGTTCACGTATTTCGAAACCTGTAGTGGTGTTTGTATTGTTCTAGGACATCTGCTATTAGACAGTTGTCGTCGATGCGACCTATGCCTTGTGCGACGTCTCCTAAATTCCCCCCAACCACCGTCGGATGTCACCAAGTGCCATGCCAGCGCAGACCAAGCCTGTTCACCTCCAACGCCTCCTGATCACGCTCTTCCCTCCATACCTGGCGAGTCGTCGTCGTCGATTGCGTCGACTAAAACCACCAACCAACCACCCTCTTCAACGCCCGATCTCATTCACTTTCGACACCCCTTCACCGGTGATACCACACTTCACGTGGCTGCAACCGCTTCCATGAAACTCGACGGAAGGGAGGAAGAGGCTGAGTACAAGTCCACTTCCTCGTCTTCTGTAGCCATGGCCAGTCAACGGCGCCAACTCATCGAATTGCTCATCTCTAGGTAACCGCCTCATTTTGAAATTGTCGACCACTGCACTGTCCCTCCCCCAGTTCACACCTGTCCTGCTCATGTTTTGTCAAAAATCACGTGACCTAACCTCAAAGTAGTTGACCGAAAAAGGTGGAATTCTGGCTTTGTGTGTCTGATCCAAGTCTCTAATTCCTTCACTGGTGTTTGCAGAGGCGCACGCCTAAGCGACCGCAATGCCGACGGTCGGACACCACTGCACGTGGCCGCCTCGTCTGGCTGCGTGGAGGCCATTCTGTGTCTGGCCCAGTTTGGCGCCCAGGTCAACGCCACCGACGCCCAGGGCTACAGTCCCCTCCACCTGGCCTCGGCCAACGGCCGCGCAGTCGCTGTGCGGCTGTTGCTGGACAACCTCGGCGCGGACAGGTCGCTCACCACGGCCAACAACGGTCTCACCGCCCTCCAGCTGGCTACGTCCGACCGCGTCCGCCGCATGTTCTTTGAACCGACGTCTTCTGCCGCCGCCGCCGCCGCATCCACCGCCGTCGTCTACCCCTGTGGAGACGTCAGTCCCGACCCCCTGATTTCACCTTCCTCCATGACTACAGCGTGTACGTCAAGGCTGGGTAGTTTGTTCGCTTCAAGAGACCATAGCTGTCACACCAGCGGTGTTTCTTCCTCCACAGCCCTCCCGCCGGAACCAAAACCACCACTCACATCCGCGACAGAGGCTTCAAAGAGCACCGGCGGTTCAGGTGATTCTCCAGGTCATCAAAAGACCACCGCTTCAGCGCCCTCCCAGTCCACCCCGCAGCCCCCTGTCTACGTGAGCGGCAGCGCAAGCAACGCCAATAAATCCAGCGGTGCCCTCGTTGGGGTTGGCACGACCCCCACCAGCAACACCGCCTGGGCCGGTGTCGTTCTCCAACTCCTCGAAGCCGCCAAGGCCGGCGACGTGGACATGGTGTGTCGTCTGGTGGTTGCCTACCAGACCTCCGATGGAACTGTTGGAGGAGGCGGCAGCGGCGGCGGGTTGGTGGTGGGCTGCAAGCCGCCCACCGATCTCATCAACTGCCGCGACATCGACGGTCGCCACTCCACGCCGCTGCACTTCGCCGCCGGCTACAATCGTCTGGGTGTTGTGGAGGTGCTGCTCAAATTCGGCGCTGACGTCCACGCCAAAGACAAGGGTGGCCTTGTTCCGCTACACAACGCTTGCTCCTACGGACACGCTAAAGTACGTGCTTTTGTGTGTGTGTGTGTGTGTGTGTGATACGCAGCGTTGCCTTGGCAGCCACCTACCAAACATTGGTTAGTCTGCGTGCGTGCGTGTAGGATTCTAGGTGTTGGTTTTTGAATAACTCCGAAGCTGGCAATGCTTTTTCGCGTGTATGTGTGTTTGTATTTCGGTTGGACCTTGGTCGCTGTGTCCATTTCTAGCACAAAACTGGTTCGAAAAAAAACGATGGCAATGAGCACAACAAACCTCCGTTTAATTCTTACGTGTTGTGCGCTTGACGCGAGGGCCAAACCCTGTGACTACCACCAACCCAACTGCGACGGCGGCTTTGTGTGGGTCATTACAAGGTCGTGCCAAGGTCACCGTCGTGTGACTCGGCCCACATACTTTTGATGCACACACGCACACGCTGCGCTCTAACAAACTCCCGTTTGCCCCTTACCAGGTGGCCGAATTGTTGATTCAAAACGGCGCGAACGTGAACGTCACAGATCTCTGGCGGTTCACGCCGCTTCATGAGGCAGCTGCGAAGGGCAAATTCGACATCTGCCGCCTCCTTCTCAAACACGGCGCCGACCCAAAACGCAAGAATCGCGATGGTCACAGGCCCATCGACCTGGTGAAGGTGACTTCCTCATTTTCAACCTGTTTTTCCCTTCCATCGATACAGTTTTGCTAGTTTCGATAACTCTGGTAGCAGTATTGATCGTGGAACCCTATCAATTTCCGATTCAATTAATTACCACTAAATTTCCGATCGTTTTTGTGAAGGCAAATGCCTACTTTCCATTTTTTTTAAATGCAGGACACGGATAGTCTAGTCTACGACCTCCTACGTGGGGATGTTGCCGTTCTGGAGGCTGCAAAACGTGGCAACCTGGCGAAGATCCAGCGCCTCGTCACTCCAGAGAACATCAACTGTCGCGACACCCAGGGCCGCAATTCGACGCCGCTGCACTTGGCCGCTGGCTACAACAACCTAGAGGTTGGCAATTTTTGATCCTTTTTTTGTGCTACCTCCAGTTGCGGTAGAAGTTGTTCAAATTTACAGACGAGTGTGGAATGAATGTTGCGCGCAGTTGTCACCCTTTTTTCTCCTCTCCTGTGTTGTCTGGCCAGAATAAAATCTGCTCCCGTGGTAGTTTGATGGGCGCAACTTTTAGTGGGTTCTGCAAAGCCTTACATTCCTCCTTTCCCCAAATCTTTCACTTCCTCTCCTCCTAACCTCCTCCTACACCCCGTGTTCCCCCTGCTTACCCCGTGCGCTATTCTTCACCAAGGTAGTCGACTTTCTGCTCGAAGCCGGCGCTGACGTCAACGCGCACGACAAGGGCGGGCTGATTCCGCTGCACAACGCCAGCTCCTACGGCCACGTCGATGTGGCCGCCTTGCTCATCCGTCACGGGACCTCGGTGAACGCCGTCGACAAGTGGGGCTACACGCCCCTCCACGAGGCCGCACAGAAGGGTCGCACGCAGCTCTGTTCCCTTCTCCTAGCACACGGCGCAAACCCCCTCGCGCGCAACGAAGAAGGTGGGTCTGTGTTCTCAGATGTGTGTCTTGAAGTTGTGGATGTGTCGTCCGAAGATTGCTCTTCTCCTCATAATTCCCAGACTCTCGAATTAGATCCACTGTTGAAGGGGCCTCGTGGCGTAATCGCCGGTACATCAGCTTCCGCCGTACTGAATTCCCTTGTGGCTGGCGGACGTCAAACAGGTCACGTCGCATTTGTGGCTACGCATGCTGTGTTTGCGTCTATCTAAAGCAGGCAATTTGCGCTGAACCATCGTTGTCAACAGCTCCTGTTATAGCAGCCAAAAAGCACTGTAAACTTCGGAGTGGTGTAGCGGCACGAAGTCACGGACTAGGTGCGCACTGTGTTCCATCAAGATTTGCCGATTCTGGACGTTATTCTTGGAAAAGGCGGTGGTTTGGATCCTTGGCGGCAGTGTCCCTGAGACCCCAGCAAACTGATTGGTTGTGTTAAGTGGATTTCCTGTGAGGAACTCATTCCTCGTGTTTTCGCGATTAATATCCGTTTCTTTTATGGTTTCAATTTGGCCATCACCACCGGGAACAGTGTTGGCTAGCTTTGATTCAGGCGGAATTTCTTAGACACGCATCACTTTATAGTCCCTCACTCACTCCCCCGTCCCCCCTTCCACCTGTGCAGGCCAGACGCCGCTCGATTTGGCCACCGCGGAGGACGTCAAGTCGTTGCTCTCGGACGCCATGCCCGCAGCCAGCGTCGTCGTGGGCGCGCCTCCAGCCAGCCTGCCCCTGCACGTCTCCCACCTCCAACAGGCTGCCGATGGCCCCCGTACCGAGGGTCAAGGTCGCGAGGCGGCCAGATTGGATGGTGGAGGTGGCGTCCAGCAGGCAACCACCTCTACCGTTGCCGCCACCGCCACAGCACCGATTGTCTCCACGTCGAGCTTCCTGACTACCCTCGGCCTCGAGCACTTAGTGGAACTGTTCGACAGGGAACAGGTTAGCTACCTCCACCAATCCCATTCAGTGCCCTTTTTCATTGGTCGATTTGGCTTGAGTCTGAATTGTCACGAAATTTGCATGGTCTTCGTGATATCGGCTCGGTAGCTGTGCCGTTGAGACTATTTTTTTCATACTTTTCAGCTATTTTTTCTAATTGCCCCAGTACTGTGTCCATTTGCTTGTAACACGTCTCTCCGAAATCAGCCAATAGCCTTTTGAAGTGTGCAGCGATGGTGTTTCCTACAACAGCCACCTGCGATTCACCAATCCACCTTCTTTTGTGATTCTCTGTTGGTGACGTTTTACAATAGCTGGAAAAGCAGCAGCGGCGTCTGTTGTGCCTGAGAGTATGCAGGATGGGCGTTGTCCGTGCCTTGGGGCTGACTCACTCCCTCTCCCTGCGTCACGGCCCAACCAGTTTTTTTTACTGCTACGCCGCCTAATTGGCGGGCATCTTAGGGGGTACACTTTTTGCCCGCAGGTCACTTTGGACGTCCTCGTGGAACTGGGTCACGAGGAGTTGAAGGAACTCGGAGTGGTCGCCTACGGTCAGCGCCACAAGATCATCAAGGGTGTCAGCCGTTACCGATCGCTCATTGCCGCCACGCCAGCGGTGCAGGCTTTGGAGAATGCCGGCGCAGCTACCGTCGTCCCTACTCGTGGAGGTGCCCCAGGGGGTCACTTTAGGGGTGTCGGGGTGCACGAACCGATGCCCCCGGGCTCCGACTTCTTCCCTGCTGCCGCCTCCACGGAAACCGTCTTCGTGGACTTGCCTCGTGACTCCGCCGAGTTCAAGGATGTCGAGGAACAGGTGGGTGTTGCTGATTCGCCACGCAGTGATTTGCGTAATGTCGTCATTGCGTTCTGTTTTGGTCTTTCAGTTCCAGAACAGCATTCGTCAGCACAAGGACAGTTGTGGAGGCGTCTTCCAGCGTCTCCACGTGCTGGAGATAACTCGAATTCGCAACCGACGCATGTGGGACCGCTACATGCACCGGTGTACCGAGATCGCGGAGGACTGCAGCGGCGGGCACTACAACGAACGCTTCTTGTTCCACGGCTCGCCATTCCTCCACTCCATTGTCACGAAAGGCTTCGACGAACGACACGCCTACATCGGTGGGATGTTCGGCGCTGGCATCTACTTCGCCGAGAACTCGTCCAAGTCGAATCAGGTAACCCATGCAACCATCCAATTCACGAAACCATGTTGTTAACAAGACCGTTAGCACAGTAACTAATCCCACACCTCGAAATAGAGCACAAAATTGGCGCCCCCAATTGAACTGTCCAATCACCACATTTGGGGATATCGTGTGTCGATTGGTCCACGCCCCTTCTCATCCACCAATGGCTCACGTGTGTGTGCTGACAACCCTCCAACTGCAGACGCCATAAAAAAACACTTATAAAGCGTATTTCGTTTGAAAGCCACCCATTTTCGACCAATATCTCGCAATGTGGAGCGTGCGTGTATATTTTGGCCGCACTAACATACCTACTAACCCGGCATTCAGTATGAGAGCAATTTGTGTTAAATTTTCAGTACGTCTACGGCATCGGCGGTGGCTCTGGTTGTCCCAGCCACAAATCCCGTTCGTGCTACGTTTGTCCACGCCAAATGCTGCTGTGCCGCGTGGCCCTGGGTCGATCGTTTATCCAGTTCAACGCCATGAAGGTTGCCCACGCGCCACCTGGCCATCACTCCGTCGTGGGACTACCGTCGGCCGGTGGTCTCAACTACGCCGAATACGTGATCTACCGGGGGGAGCAGGCCTACCCCGAGTACCGCATCACCTACCTACTGGTGCCCGCATCCGAGTCCCCCACCAGTCCCCCTGCTGTACCCAGCACTGCCGTCGCCGTCGCCGCCACCCCCAACCCCCTGACCTCGCGCCAAGCTGGCCGGCCCGCTCCAGGCGGCCCCAGCAACACCACCTAATCGATAACGCGCCGTCCCCCTAGCTCCCTCCCCTTCAATGCAACCTGACTCTGGCAGCAGATCAACCTCCCTTTCCCCACCCCCCAGGGGGCTGAACAGGTGGCGCGAACATTCCTCAGCAATCACTTATCCTTGTGTATTTACGCATCTTCCTTTCTGCCACACTTATACTACTGTTATACTACCAGTACCCTTGCATTAACTTATTAAAAATAGACCGCCCAAGGCGTCTCTTTGTGCGTGTGAGCACGCGGGTATATCTCTCTTAGGATATTAAAAAAAAGCACATATGAGTCTTGAATCAGGGTTTGGTGGGGTTCAGGTTGTGCTCCAGGCGACTCAGTCTATCACGAAGGTTCTGGACCATCCTTGACCCCTACAAGGAAAAGCCAGAGTGAGAATTTGCTTTCGAGATTAGATGTCTCTGTGTGAGTTATTGTCCTTTTTGAGGCAACGCCGTCGACCTTGCAATAGGTTGGGTGTGTGCTGATTGGTGCAACTGCTGATGGCGGATTAAATGCGGACATTTCGATTTGAGCGCGACTACAAATGTACACTCACTGGGTCAATTTCATCGAGAGTTTTAATCTTAGCCGCGAGGTGTGTCAAGTCCTTCTGTGATGGGATCGGACCCATGTCGTCTAGATCGTCTTCTTCCGGCTAAAATAAATGAAGTAGTGACGTAATATTGATACGATTGAAGTGCACGATGATTGGTGAAGATAGTAATAAACGTCACCTACTTAATTTATTGTTGTGAATAGTGGATGATGGTAATTATGGCGGCAACAGATCAGCCAATCACACATCTTAAATTGGAGCTTGCTTTGTCCAACATGTGAGGAATTGATGATGTCAATTTCAATGCACAGTTATACCGCAAATGTTATTAGACGCATCTAAAGCAATCATAGGTCTAATACTACGAAGTGACACAACGAATCTTGACGAAGAAGGAGTGTCAAACGACCAAATGGTCGGTCACAGGACCTTCAACCGTATTCCAGTGGCCTCCAACATCAAAGAACGGGGCTCAAAACCTACCAGCCATCCATCGTCATCCATACCCTCGGGAGAGTTAATGTGATTCATGTGCTCCTCGTAGCTAATCACACCGTCGTGGTCTTTGTCGATGAGTTCAAAGACCTTCTGGCGCATCTCTAAAAGGTACTCCTGCTGCTTTTCGGGTGAATCTTCGTCCACTTGATCGACCTACAGCAGAGCAAGCAATTGGTCCGTTTCGTGGATCAGTATCGATTGAAGTGCAAAATGATTGGTGGAGGAAGAATAAGTAAAAGACACTCCTAAGAACAAACGACGTTGTTTAAATCACTCCGGTTAGTTTAAACACGACAATGAACGTAGACACCAACCGAAAAGTACTGGGCGCGCAAGTAGGATGGCACGAATGCGTCACGAAAACTAGTGACACGTTTGTAAGCAATGCGTGGGCGTCAATGTAAAGGTGCATAAACAATTTAAACACACAGCGACAAATGCAGACAATTTGATGGAAGCTCAAGGTGATTCGTTTACTCGCACAACGGTGCACGAGGTTAACAGACTACACAACATCATCTACGGGGTCCACGTGATTATTTTTACACAAAGACCAATGTCAGGTCGATGGACTGGCCAATCAGGACGCAGTGTTGGTCTTACCTCTGCAGACAACATGGCTTCTACTTCCTCCGAGTCCCAAACGCCGTCCGAATTGAGATCTAAAATGTTGGTTCGCAGGGAATCATCATTACAAATACCAAAAATGCCAATGTCTAAAACTGAACAGTTTAATTAATCAAGATTCCTGTTCTAAGTCCTGCAGACGGATATTGGGGAGAGGGGTAGGAGCTATACTAGGATTTTTTAATCAGTTTGCTTACACGTGGAGGAAGTGCCACGTGGCTGTAAACAAGGCTCCCGATTTTCCAACACACCCACTCAGCAAAACACAACAAAATCTACCGTGCATTAGGAAGAAAATGCGTGGATTAAAATCGCTGTCCGGTAGGTTATCGCCCTTCTGCCACTGTTCACGCTCTTGTGCCCGACTTCCCTAGCAGAAATTAAAAAAAAACGACGAATTTTAAGCAAACTTCCCTGATTGCGTGAGCAGTAATTAGAACGAAAAACGACTCTTTATCGGTAACTTACTGGTTCATGGAATTTCCCCGATTTGGAATGCAACTTTTTTTCCGCCTCAAACTCCGCCTGAGCCTTCTGACGCTCAGCTGCGCTGTCGTTTAGGTGCGACTCCCAGCGTTCGAGGACCTTCATCACTTCGATTTCGTTAAGAAGAAGAACTTCTTCCCGATCAATTGCATTTTGACGGTCCCGCAGCTAAGAAACAACGGCGGTAAGATGACTGGCGTATTCTCTACAGGTTGGAGGCCTATATTTACCGCACTACTTGCAAACAACCTTCGCAGAGCAAGTGACAAATTGGCTTCGGTAGGCGGATGCAAGAAATGACCAATCAGAAAAACGGGACAACCAGTTACAGATAGAAACAGGCCAAACATGCCAAAGAAATATAGCATTTCAGTGCGCACAATATAAAGGCGGTAGTGCAAGAGAAAATGGAGCTCCATGTGGCATTAACACAGTTTATAATATTGTGCATACGAACAGCGTAATTCGACTTACCATTTTCATTATTTCTTCAATATCAATGGCGGAAAAGTTGGTCGTATTGCCAATGTCTAAAGCCTTAGCTAAATCCGATGGAATCTGCACTGAGGTATCTTTTCCTGAATTACGCTTTGAAGCAAGTAGGTCGACAAAGTAGTTTCTGGTTTCGAACTTTATTTGGTTTAATTTCTCTCGCACTTCATGTGAAAGAAGAGAGATGTTGACATTGTGAGGCTCCTAGAAATCAAAATGTACATAATAATGGATGGTACTATTTAGATACGAGAAGTCGTCGGCACGTACCTGATGCAAATTGGAAACGTGTTCTATGAATTCTGTTGAGTTTTCCATTGCTTTAAAGAGTTTTTCCAAGTAGTCCCTAAATTCCTCGGAAACCATCTATTCAAATAATAAAAAAAGATGCACTTGGGAATCAAAAAAATACATAAATGTGAGATTACGACGCAGCAACCATGGCGGTAAAACTAAAGCTGATGACGGGGGCTACTCATTAGGCCGGTTACGTCATGTCTTTAATGTGATAGTTGTAAGACGTTAGCAAAATGTAATGTAATTGCTTCATGAATAACAATTGAGTAAATCACAACCCTGAAAGAAAAAGAGTACGTAAGGTATTAAGACGCGACATTTCGAATAAAATTTGTACAGTAATCAAATGTTCGAAAAAAATTAAACCTTACTTTTGCCTGCTTTGTTTTAGGTGGCGCTTTTGGATGGACTGGTGCACAATTTGTACAGGAAATTATAAAAAGACAAATTAGAGCACCCCGGGCAGCCATTGAGTTAGCAGAAATCATTTGGACCGCCAAGCCGCAAAATGCATGTGACCTAAAATACGATAGGGTTAAACATTAAATTTAGATACATTATGTCCACACTATAAAACACCTTTTAGCAGTCAAATTGCCACTTTGCTGACATAAGTATAGATATATACAAAAACTGGTTAATTAATAAACCAATTACTAGACACTAAATTTGGACATAAAGAAATCAAGGAAATAATTTCCTGGAAGAATGTGTTCCGACAATCGATCAGTCATTAAATATGTATGTATATTTTTCCCTTAATGGTGTTATACAGAACCTCTGAAACTGCCCATTACAGTATTGATTTTTCAAAAGACTTACTATTATCTGTTTCGGTGAAACTAATGTCTCAAAAGTTTGGTGATGAATTAAAAAAGCAAATATCTTAATGTAAAAAAGGATTCATACACAGGTTTGTGGGGTTAATATGGAAGAGTTGAATGTTGCTGGCTATCTTTTCATAAAGTTGCCTTTAATTATAAATAGAGCGCTCTGGTTACTATATCTAAGTATCCCGAAATTACTCGAGCACCTTACTAGATGAAAAAAGCGCTTTAAACTTAGATTTCTATATATCACTTGCTTATAAAAACCATAAATGACATTTTTTCGTCAAGTATCATTTCCTTAAGTAAGCTTGCCGTTTATAAATTATTACTATTTCGGAGATTTTTAATTCATGATTTCCTTTTCCGCCTTACATTTTCCCTTGTTGCATAGATTATTGTGTTCCATGATAAAAACTTTAAAAGTAAAAAAAATAGTTCTTGAAGCACACGTACGTAAACATAATTTTACGATTTCCTGAGGTATGGAGTTTCGCTACCTTAGGCGAAGAAAAATTAACGAAACATCATACCCAAGTAATTGAACAATATGCACAAATTGCGCATTGCCAAGAAAGTCCGTCCCGTCAGAAGCCATCGTAATTAAATCCACGAAACGGGCTCAAGGAGAACTTTTCAAAGTCTAAGTGCACCAATTTTCTCTTATTGGATAAGATAAAAGTGGAGTTAACCCCGAAACCTCTCAAAATAGAGTTTTCCTCGACAGTGTTTCAACACGAGACTTGAGAGGACCGCACTAACGGGTACTACACCGAATCATCCTTTGATAAATTTAATAGAATTACTTAATCATGCGAGGTCTAGCACCACAGCCGTAGCAACTTCGACGACACTGGAAAGAATGCAATGAAATTAACATATGTACTTCAGCGCTATGTACAAAGGGGAGTGGGAGGCCATCCTTAGAGAAAACCGCGTCGTTTGAGCAGAATTTCATTCTCCCGTAGCCACTTGTCACCCAGGGCTCGGAGCTCCCTCAACCGACTGGCAAATCGGACTGGGCCACAGCTCGTGGCAAGTTCACTCAGGCGTTGCAGGTGTGGCCCCAGTCGCGGTAACATAGCGTCTAAGGGTCGCGTGTGTTTCTGCATCGAACGCATGAGACCCCATCTTGGATCAGGTCTGTAACTCGCCATTTCAGCGACTTCGTCCTCGAAGTCGCCATCCTCAACGTCGTCAACGCCAGACTGCGGGAATGAGGAGTTGTTCGGGGGGTAGGCGGAAGGAGAGTGAGCATACATTTGGAATGGGTTAGAGGGCAGAGCGAGACCCGGCGACTGATCCGACTGTCCCCGATGTTGAAGTTCATTTTCGAAGTCGTGCTCGGAGAAAACTGACGGAATTTCATCTGCAATATGAATGTCAGGTTATACTGTCCGTTGGGACCACCGTAAGCGACGTAGTTTCCAAAAAAATAAGCTAAAGGACATGAGTCACATTATCTAACAAGAAAAAAAGGAATTCTTAACCAATGCTCTTATCATGGAATTTTGACAACCAACTAAAGGAAATAACTAGCGGTCGAATTTAGCAAACAAACTGAATGGGTCCATTGTAAAAGGTTCGAAATGTCTACAACCGGGGTTGGTGTTTACTTTGCATCGATCGACTTTTCAACGTACCGAATTGGAGGTTTTGAATGGATCTACTTGACCAACAAATGTAAGCGAAACATGCGGATAAAGAGAGTACCTTCAAGTAAGTTTTGTTGGCTATATCCATTTCTCTGAAGGTAGATTTGAGGAAGCGAGTCCACTTCCTCCTCACCCTCATCTTCGGCCTCAAACTCTTCGTCCCCCATTGCCACAGAGTCGAGACCCAATGCATGCCGACTTGGGTCGTCCTTGAACACACTAATCGGAGGCATGCGTTGGTCACCATTTGCAAAAAGTCGTTTTCCGACGCGGGTGGCCGTTCCCACTACCGCTGCCGCCTCCTCTTCCTCCTTCTCTTTTCGACTTCGCCGTCTCTTTGGAGGGAAATGGACTAGGTCTGGACGCACCTCGTGGTTGTGACGGAAGTCGTAGCGGCGCACGTGCAATTGGTTGTCTTGGGAGTAGAAGTAGATCTTGCTTCGGCAGCCGATTTTGGCAGTTCTGATTACGAAAATAGCACATTAACCCCAAACACACAAATATTACAGGGAATGTCACCAAAGCCAACAAAAGTTCACCACGTTCGTTGGTCGCCAAATTAGTGCGGCACCACACGACCCAAAAAATTGCTTACCGCTGGAGCCGCCGCTGTTTGGCCTCACTGACTTGGGTGCCATAGCGGTAACATATGTAGACGAGGTGACTGTACACGAGGGTTTCTGCGCCTGGAGAGCCGGGAGGAAGACGACGGGTGTTTGTCTTTACGTATCGATTGCCAGTTGCCAACTGGAATTCGTCCATCTTGGCTTGGAGCTCAGCAAACGAGGCGAAAGACATGGTGAGGAAGATGCGCAGGAAGTCGTCTGTACAGTCCTGCACGGTGGCAACGACATCGTCGTCGTCACCACCGCCAGCGCAGCCAGAAACGGCCGCCTCCAGCTGGGGATTCACGGAGGTGGGTGAGGGGTTGAGAGGGGCGACCGGTAGAGGTTCCTCGACCATCGGCTCCATGTGGGCGGGATGATTGTGCTGCATGTCGTATTGACGGACAAACAACTTGTGCTTCCTGGTACCCACGGAGAAGTACGCTGGACACCGTGTTCCACCAGCTCTTAAGTTAAGAACAACGCTGCGTACTTCCAACGTGCACGCTTTATATGCAGGCGCGTGTAAACCCAAACTCACAAACAGTTCATAACGCACAATTTAAATAGTCAATGTGTGATTAAATAGAGCAGATTATAAACGCAGGTCAAATATACGATTAGACAACTTACCTCGACAGGTCATGTGCGTGGAACAAAACGGTTGACTATTTTACACAGTTAAGAACTATGGTATGCAAAATTTAGACCCTCTAAATTTCTCCCAAGTTGGCAACACTAAGGCTGCTACTCCAACAGCACAGCGAATCGGATAATATGCACGAAATGAGGTACACAATTTGGCAGGTCTCTACCATTTTTGTGTTGGCTCAAAAGCCATTAAACTTTTAAACTAAAAAGCCTAACTTCTCACCTCTGGCCCATCCTCCTGGCTGGTCGGATATGGCGTACACAAGCGTAGTGCATGTACCGATAAACCAAGTATTCTCGTCCAAGAGTTCCCTCATTAAAAAGGCAGGTGCGTTTCATCATATACTGCATCCCCGTGGCTTCTTCGAAGGCCTGCAGTTCCTTACTAAATGCTTCGAAGGTGGAAAATGCCTTTCCGCCGAATCGCGACAGAAATTCATCCCGACAGTCCATCACAACGTCGGAAACGTCTAGTTGTGTATTCTTCAATGCCATTGCATTTAGCATTTTAGACAGATGATTTAAAGGGTATTTTCAGGTGGGATAAATTTTGAGCTAAGAATGTCTGCAGAAGCCATAAGCTAAAAAACAAATACATGAAATGAGTGCCTGATTAAAGCAAAAATCTAGTATCCAAATCGCCACTTCATGGAAATCATCGCACAGGTGGAATTTAGTGTAGCAGAGCACGGTCGGATTCTGCAAATCTAACCACACACTTTCATGTAGTGTACCTAGTTAGTTAGATAAATGCCTTATTACCAATTTCTTTAATACATGTGCAGAAATAAATTTCGTGCAATGACCAACCAAAAGAATTGAATAAACAATGACAGAACAAAAACACATCCAACACGCGATACTTAGTGCAAGACGACAGACTTAAATTATTCAAATATAAATCATTAAACTGTGGGGAAGTAAATGTGAATAGCTTTAAGTTGATGCAGAAATAATGTAAATATTTTATACCCAAGGAAATTAAGCCTAAAAAGCAGCTACGTCAGTACCAAATGGCTTTTATAACCCGTAATTCAAAAAAAATAAAGTTAGATCAGAGTGATAGACAACACAAAATTGCGTACGAAACCTCAGGCGCAGAAAGACATGCTCCACAAAGCGAACAGTATTCAAGGCCTGCGCCGAATAAGACGACCACTAAAACGTCTACACTCTCGAAATTTTGAACATTATGTGACAATTTTAATTAACAAAAATATATTTTCCACTACAATAACTTTATAAAACCTAAAAAAATTATATGCTTATATAAACGCAGTGTTTTAAATTAACAGGTTTGGCATGGTTTTGAGTCTGACTGTGGATAAAATAATAATGTATCAGCGCCATTGCATTACAGAACCATTTTTAAGAGGCACACTTAGAAGTGAGATCAAAATAGTTCATGACAATTTAAGTGGTCCAGTTACTGCACAGGTCTATCTTAATTACTGCTTTAATTGCTTCATCGAAATTTCTTGCCATTGTGTGCATTACAGTTTTAACGGTAATAATATAGGCAATTCTATACACTCCAACAATAGATTTATGTGCAGTAGTATTTAAATTTTGGATCTAATATTCAATGATTTGGTATTAAATTTGCATCTATTATTTTGATGGGTCATTTCAACAGAATTTTTTAAAATAATGTTATTCCTTGTGCTAACATACCCTATTTTTAATTTCATTGTAAAATAGACGTCTATCTCCCAAGTTCATCAATGTCGACACATTTGTCTCGTAATTAAGACTTTATAAATACTGTCAACTAAAAGGCCAATCAGAATTTCGAACCAATTTTTTTGGAAAAAAAAGCCTGAAATATTCAACGTTATTTTACATGAATATCCAACGGCAAGCATTGGCATCATGTTTTAACAGAATCTTACCTTTTTGCCCACTACCGTATACTCATCCGTACTAAATTTAATGATGGGAAAAAATTAATGGCTAAAGATGCCACGTTTCAGATATTTCTCCACCATTTTTAGACTGCTTTTATCTAACTTAACCCTGTAAATACAAATGTAGTATAACACATACGCTCAAGTTTTAAACGGTTTAATAAACAGTTGCATATAAGGCATAAAAAGAACATAAAACAATAATTATGCACTTTTATTGTGAATGTTTGAGATATTTAATGCTTCATAGTGTTGGATCAGGATTATTTCTTACTTAAATTCTTATTTTGAAATACGCGTTTATTCATCTTGCAAAATATATAATTTATAGTTTTGAGAATATAAGCTTTAAACGTGACTACCGAATATTGATATTCCGCCGATTTGCGATATTCAAACATCCAACGTTGCTAAAAATTCTAGTAGTAACATGACTTTTCATCATCCTAAAGAATGGTTAAAGGTAGCTCAAATTCAGCCAATTATTACACCAATCGAGGTTTTTAAATGTTTCTTAACTACTATTTCTACATTTAGGCATTGTGATTACTTTAGTTTTTTATCACTTGACTACTGCGAAAATCGCCGCAATTACATATAATGAAAAATTTTCACAAATACTAAGTGTTGTGTTTTTTCCGCAAATGTATTATTACATAGAGTTTTGAAATAATACTTATGGTATTCATTTACAATGAATTATAAATTTGAAGAAATTTTCTATTTAACGGGCATTAAATAATATAATTAAAAAAAATTACCTGGAGTAAAATTTTTTGGTTAAAGGCGACATCTGAATAAAATGAGGCAGTAATTTTGGTTTCCAACAGTTATTTAGTAATGAATTTATTAAATTTAGGCACTAAATTTTTTAGATTTGGATTTGATATCCAGGAAAAGAAAACCTCAGATTATTCATAAACGGAGTATTTATTTTTATTTTTTTAGGAGGCCTGGTTTCATTGAGGATCAAATTTTACCTTGAGGATATATGCATTCTTTTTAGCAATTCAGAAACGAAACACTAGATTTTTGGGCAATTTTTTACCGAAACTCTAAAAATATTTTGCATAATTGTTCATCTGCAAAATTTATCGATGCTAATTTAACTAATATTTTAAATCTGCTTTTTTGACCAATGAATTCGGTCAGTTGCCTTTGACGTCCCAAAATGGCCCCTTTGATTGGAATGAAATGTTCGGCTTGTTTGTTAATACTAGGCGTATGGGGGGTCATTATGCTTGTAAGAAATCTTTTTATCTCCTTATTCGTACCTTTGTGCCATTTTGCTTACTTGCGTGCATTTATGATTTTTAAGGCGCCTGGTCTATTTCCTTCATTTATTTCGTCTTTTATAGTTATTCACCTCTTGAATTTTTATGTTAGTGTGTATCGTTACTTTAAAAAAAATGATATAGACCTACTTGATATTGGTTATTATTCTTTTATGGCGTCAGATACGACATTTCGCTCAATACATTCAACTTACAATTTTTTGTTGCCGTAGTTGTTAGGGAACTGTGTTTTACCTGACGCTTTATGTTATTTCTTTCCTTTTAAAGTAAAATAGCGTTTTCTTAGTCTGTAAGCGTCAGCTTTTTCCACCTGCATAAACTTTGCTGTATGCTCAACGCAATTGCTTTGTTTTCCATTAGCACCATTCGAAACTACCTATTGTTGTTCTGAATATGTGATTTTATTTGCACCTGTTTCTGTTTACTTTATTAAGGTGCTAATGGGTATTCTTACCCGAGTTAATGCTGTTGCCTTCGTTGAGGATGTCCCGATAGACATGGCCGAATGGGAGAAAGTGCATTTCGAGTCTTCCTACGTGGATGAAAAGTATGCCATGGTGTCGACCAACTGTTTTACTGCCGCAGGTCTCTACTTGATTGTGCTAATCTTCGCCGCCTCTCAGTTCCACCTAAATCGGCGTCAAGGCCGTGTGTCCCTTTAAATTCCATACCATCGTCACGAACCCACGCATAATACCACCCCTGACTAACGTATTGGCTGTGTTGTCTTACCTCCACTTACGGAATTCCAAATTTCTCGAATGTTTCAGTGATTTCTGCATCAAGTGTCTTTACGTGTACACGCGGCCACTCGTTTTAACAATTTAATTCGTCTTGGTTTGTGTAGTTACTGGGATGTTAAAATTTGCGCGTAGTTACGGAACAAACTATTTGTTACTTCGATCACGAGCGTTAGGAGTGCGTGGTCGTGAAAGCCCGTTGAATGGGATCAATAGAAGTCGAGGGTTATCTGGGAATACTGGTTAGTTTGGTGTAAGCAAATTCGATCAGGCCTCCACTCGTATCCCTCCGCTTACAGACAATTTGGGAGAATCAAAGCCGAGCTAGTTTAGGCGCGATTATAAAGGTCGCTGATGACACCTCAGCTGGGTTTGAACTACTTGTTCAATGAGGTACGTGTGAACACTGAGGGTTAGCGGTTGATGGAAGCCAATTAACTATCAGGAGGTGTCGCAGCTGCTAATAACTCTTGAATGAATCTTTGCTTCTACTGATCCTTAATAAATAGTCTTGGATATCCATTGACAACCGTTCACTAATAAAGTGTCAAAATCCCGATTGTCTCCAGGTCCCAGGAGCGCTATTTGTAGCACAGTTTAAGCGACGCCTATTGGAGCCTGTTCGAAAGGCGCCAAAGCATTTTGAGTGGGATCTCAGTGAAGTTAATGGCTGTATTTAGATGAGCCGAAACTTTGGAATATGGTCATGTCGTCCAACTCAGATACAGTTTATTGACCATGATGCTGCGGTAAATCCAGGCACGTTTTTGCGTCTTGGTGATCGAATACCACGCTAGAAAACAGGGTCATGCACTCCCGTTGTTGATCGATGCTCGGACACTGGATGATCGATTTTTGATAATAATATCTGGCATTCACACTGTCCCAAATGGTCTGTCACACTAACATCGAAGAAAAGTAGGTACCACGTCAAACGGCAATCACTGAAAAAAACAAGACGCGACCAGACTATGTTGGGCCTCAGCCGCCTGTAAAATTCTATGCTTTTTTTTATCTATGGGAATTCGCGGTTAGGTGAATCACGTAAGCCCAACGTCCTGCGATTAGTCACCGGTTGAAATTCATTGAATACATCAGGAGACCAGACCACGCATCTACAGCATGCGAGAATAATCGGAATGCCCTTGCTTGCTGCCATTTTAATAAAACGCGCCAAGAACGACAGTAGTTTTAGCTTAACCTAAAGCATTTTATTCCATTTTTGAAATAAATAATGCGCGTTAGTGTGCGTGCGTGCGTGCCTAAACGATACACCGAGTGGTTAAAGAGTGTGAACCAAAATGTGTGTGTGTGTTAAAATGCACACACACACACACGTACGCCTGCACGCAGGCAAGTACATACGCACATGGCAAACGAAACGCAAGCGAGCTGGAAAAAAAACCAGAAAATGAAATTTCGATGACCGTGAAATCAACTCTACAATGGGACCCGATTTGTGTGCTTGTGTGTGTGTGTGCGAAGTGAGACGCATGGGGGAGGGATGATGGAACCAGCTAAATTGTTGCCTAAGTCGAAGATCCTCTCTTTGCTCCATCATAGGTCGGTTTCACCAAAGATGGTGTTAGAAAATTCGCTGTAGTCCAGTGCACCTGGGGCAGACGACTCGCCGGTGTAGGGTTTCATCTTGCTCAGACAATATTCCGCCTGTTCGGGAGGCAGTTCACGACGGATTACGTCTTCTGTCACGTAGGGCTGAAAACGGGAAGAATTCTAGGTGTGGTGACTGGTGCTATTTCTAGACCTCTAGACACCCATCCTATCAGTGTTCGCATTGGCTTGAGCCCCCGTAACCTTGAACTTCGTGTGCATACACGGGAGCGCAATCCAAATCAATTGGCAACCACAAGATGATCATCTGCGTGGGCAGGAGGCCGCGGGTTGGCCAACTCCCACTTCCAAGGTCACACGCGGCTCATTTTGATAAACATGCATACACTTTGATCCCCACGAACGCGGACTCGATTAAGTCATGTAAAAAGTACGTTTTCATCCTGCTTTAGTACTGTTTGAGGGTGTGTGTGTGTCATTGGTGCAGAAGAAATCCAATATTGGTGTTTGGGGCCGGTGGGCTCGATTTTGACCAATCACATGGAAGAGCCCGAACGACTGGCGTCCGTAACACGCAGGGCTTCTGTTTTGTTTAAAATCATAACATCGCTCAACCGCGGGCCTTCAAAAGTTTCAATAAATCTGACAAAGTTTAGGTGCCTAGCAGTGTCTTTTTAAGATAAAATTGATAGTGGATTCAACAATTCAAACAACTTTGGGATTTTTCAAATTATTGGTTACCAAGGCTAAACGCAAGATCTTTCCCAGCCACAACACCGCTTAAATTTCACCAAACTGACCCCATACATCCCCTTTTAATGTAGATCGGCATTTGATGCGATTTTAGCTCCTAAATAAAGTTTTTTCTCGATTGACGTCACCGCAAATTCAGGAGTTTTTGTGTAATCTCTGGAAAATAAATGTAATTTCCCACAATACAAAAACGCCAGTCGCATTTCGAACATGATTAAGCCATTTGGCCCAGGGAAAAAAACATTTCCCATGTCGACAATCGTACCTGCGCCATCAAACGACCGTGCATGCACGCACGCACGCGCAATCTTATTGGACGAGAAAATCTGTGCACGCATGCACGCACAAATCCTATTGGAGGAGACGATCAGTGCAGGAACAGGAAACAGAGAGTGCGCCAATCTCATTGGGTAGAGGAGGGGAAATCGAGGCCCAGAAATGCGCAACCACATTCCTGTTGCTGATGCTACTGCTGTCCAGGTCACGTCCCAATCCTGGACACCCACAAAAAACGGCAACTACCCACCTGCCCTTTCCTTAATTCCCCATAAATCCGTGTTAGGTGCACCAGAATAACATCAGTTCAATGCTCTTGAGGTCTCATCTGTCAAATATTCACCGCAAGACCTTTCATTATTGGTCAATCCAAGGTCAAGTCAATCTATGACCTTGAAATGCCCCAATCGGATCATAGTTGCATGACAGGCAATAGCATAGCTCACTTGCTCGTTGGCCAGAACGCGGAAGGAGTCGATTAGTTGCTCGGCACTTTCGGAGCCCGAAGCCTGTTTGGTCATGAAACGCATGAACGAGTCGAAAGTGACGAAGCCCGAGCCAGCTGGATCCACATTCGCAAGAATCCTTCGAAAGTCCACATCACCCTAAAAAAGCCATGTTAAAAATTCCGGTTCGAGTACGCCATGGCCAAGCTTTTAGCGTAAACATGTTACGTCTAAGATGCTGTTGGTGACACAAAGACTAATCTTAGGAGGTTGTCTGGTTACTTGAAACTGCATCTTCCACGGTGAATTGAATCCTAGCCCCTTTTAGCTCACTTTATCCACATTGGCTCCGAGATCATCGATTTCCGATCCTCAAGTTTGACGTCACTTTATGTCCCAAGCGCTGATTTGGCCTGTTTTTAGAGATTAGACATCCAAAATACCTCGGATTTTCCCCACCGCGATCAGCCAAATCATGTTTTCTGACAGCTCAGTTCTAATTGGCTCTGGGTTTATCGATTTTCGATGTTGGAGTTTGAACTCAATTCAAAGTTCATGTATTAATATGGCTCATTTCGTGGGGGATAGGCATGCGCAAGGCCACATAAAGCCAGCTTTATGATCACTATCGTCATTTTTTGTAGCGAATCTACGAAAGTCCACTCACCCAGGCGATCGATACTCAGATCGCTCAAGGGCGCATTCTCATTGGCTAAAAGCTAATCGCTGCCAGTTTCGATTTCTCGACTGCAAACAAAATTTATAGCATTGGCTTTTTGCCTTAAACATGTCTGGCATTTGAATAAACGTTTGTGTCCAATCTGTTGTGCCGTTTCCTATTGATCTGTGTGGGTTTTTAGCGAAAAATTCGGGCGATATCTACCCGCGCATTTGTGAGGTCACTGATAATAAATTTTGTGTACATTTCAGGACACGACATTTTATATCTCAATTGGGCCACACATACGGCCAAATATTGCCTCCGTTTGATAAAAGTCAGCACGAAAATGCTTGGTCATTACATAAGATGCAACATGTTTTCTAGCGACAAATAATAGTGGCTCTGCGAAGTCTCAATAGATGCGCGCTTAAAATAGCGACTTGTAAACAAATCTAATTATTGGAGAAAGGAATTAGAACAAGAAAACAGAGTAGCAGAGGCTACAGACGAATACACACATGCCGCAGTGTTTCGGGCAGCAGGATGCAAGTGGAAACAGCTGCGATCATCAGACGCGTGTTAGAGATTTCGGCATGCCAGAAAAAACGATTGCAAAGGTATCCAGGTGGAGGGGTCCAGGCAAGCCCGCGAGCAAATGGCTAAATAGCGCCAATGCTAGTCCTTGTGTTTTGAAAATCCCGCCGGGAATCAGCCAATCAACGGCGTTCACTTGGCTCAGTTGTTTAAATTTACCGATAAAGGCAGTTTTCGATTAGTCAGCGCGAGTTTCTTTTATTCGATTGGCTTCAAAGAGCAAATTCTGATTGGTTTTGACGCAAATCACTACAAATTTGAACTTCTAATGCTGTCGGCTTGTGACGACGTGACTTACGAACCAGTTGGGAGGAATGCACGCGTCTCCTTACCTCTCTCAGTGTGTGTGTGTGTGAACGAAAATAGTTGATAAATTAATCCCTCTTCCCTTCCAGCAGTTACTGCCTGCAGGGCCTAAAAACAGACCAAGCGTACACACGCACGCACGCACGCGCGCGGAAACACCTTAGAGCGTTGGGGCAAAGAAGACGGTAGCTGCGTCGCACAACAATCAAACAGCCTAAAGTGATGGTTAAAGGAGGGGGTGATTAGAGAGGCGTTCAGTCTGTCCCACTTCGGGCCCACACGCGCACAACATCGACATCAGACCAAATCGTACCACTAGAACCTAAAATTCTCTTTAAAATAGAACGACAAGTCTTTGTTGATTTCACGGCACAGTGCACGGGGATGGCAACTGATAAACAGCACGATGGATTGTATTGCATTTCACACGAATTCCAACAAAGCAAAACTGCTTCAACTGCACAAAAATCAGTTGTGGTGTTCTCGATGTCAACGTTAGGCCATATACAAAGTGCAATAATTGGTAGAATAGTTTTAAAAGTGCTGATTTCGATCTCAGTTAGGAGTCACGCAAAGAGCTACTTTCAGGCGTTTGGACCACCAAATGAGAGAACTTGCAAAAACTAGGAATTTGGGTCCCAAGTGTGCTGAGGGAAACCAATGCTCGACCACCTCAGGTTACTTGCTCGACTCAGAAGGCCCTCTTGAACTTGACATGGAAAGTTCTCCCACACGCGAACTATTCACCAGATCTGTTCCGGTCAATGCATCACCACGCCTTAGTGGATGATCACTTCAAAACAACTGGACAATGTTGGCAAATTTGTCCCTGAAAATTTACTGTCCCAAAGCCTTCGAGTTTCTTTCGAACGTTAGCTTAGAGAGATGGAAAAGGTCGTGGAAAACTATGGACGACATTTCCAAGATTGAGTATGGACTGGCTGTAAGGCGACAACGTGCCTACTCACCTCCGGTGTGTTTGGTATGTTGTAGCCGAGGGAGACGAGGCACGCCTTGAACTCGGAGATGTCCAGGCGTCGAAGGCGCTTGCGGTCGAAGTGGTTGAAGCAGCGTCGGAAGTCGTTGAGCTGGGATTCGCTCAGATTGGAGGCCTCTCGCGCCATAATCTGCACCTCCACCTCATTGATGGCGCGTTTCACGTTTGTCAAGAGTTGCTCCCAACCCAGCCGCAGTGTGTCCATCGTATAGGACGTCTGCGGCACTGTGTAGACCCCGTGTGCTTGCAGATCCTACAACGAGGAAAAAAACGAGTAGTATCGTTGACTTCAAATAGCACTGGGGAATCTTACTCTTTACGCTTCGCTGTGTTGCCGTTTACTAACACACATTAACGAACATACCATGGATTGTTATAGCTAGCATACAGACGCAATTTTAGAGGAAGTCATTTGATTGGATGAGACATCAAATATTTAATTACATTTAAAGTTCGACTTGATGTTGAATCGACCACTTAGTGAAGTTTCAATCTGATTGGATGCAGTTGTGGTTTCGTATTTATTGGTCAAAATCACAGACGAGAGACTAACTTTGGGCACACGGCGTACACAAGATGGAAGTCTTGAAGTACAAATGAGGAAACGTGAAGCCCGCCAACGTCAACCAATCAAGATAAAGTCAGAATTCCGATTTATTAAAACAAATTTTACAAAAACGCTAATGTCCTTAATAGCCAACCGCAATTAAACTTCATGATTAGCGGGTCTGAGGTAAGTTTTGAAAACAAATTTTGGCACCAATTAGAAGGTTTTGTACTTTAAGTTAACTCTTGCACTAACTATCGGGAACTTGGCTTGCGAAAATTGACAAACGACGGCTGAAATTTTGAACTGATGGGCTGGCAAGGAAACATCTTTGGTTTTTGGTGGAATGAACCTCATCAAGGTTGGCCGCGTTGGCAAGCAAGTCGATTGTGATGTCAGCATTGACTTTAGTTTGTGGCCAATTCTTACAAGGACACCAAAACTAACCACTTTCGCTTCCTCATTTAGACACAAGCAAAAGCGTTGTAGTGGACTTTAACAGAATGCAGGTGTCCGTATTGGTTTAGGGAAACTTAAAACCAGATTTTTACTCCAAGTTTAATCAAATTACAACCGTGATTGGATAAGAGGTGCTGTATCTATTGCCAGCAACCAATGAATCTGGTTGAGAAAGCAATCAGGGCAAAAACGATTATAACTGAACAAGGATGAAGGAAGGGCGGTGTATTTAGCGCTTGCGTACTGTCATAATTTAGACAGCGACGACCAAAGTGCCATCCATTCTGGCGTTGGCATGGTGAAACGAGGCACATTTAACTTCCACTACTTCTTCTTCATCATCCACGCAAATTTGGTAGGATTTTTAAACCTTCCAAACGATATTTGGCGTGAAATTTAGAAACATTTTGCATCCAAAAACCTAGTGAACCAATACCGCAAACCGCACTTCAAAATAGCGCTTAACTTAGCGCCTAACTGCCTTCTTTTTTCCGCAAAGCAGAAAGAAGCCGCAACTTGTTGACAGAACTGGCTGTATTTAGAGAAACCAAAGATGGCAATTTAAGAGTTAGATTTTCAGAGTAAGCATAGGTTGCATTTCACAATTTCTGTCCCTTGCGGATTCTGCACTTTTCATGAAAGCGAAAAATTAAAAATTTCCCCTCAATTAATGGCTTTCCATGCACACTACTTATCCAAGTCATATCGGTCGCCCACGTCTCATTGGCTCAAGGGCAAGAAAAAATTTAATTGGTGGATTGCACGAGATCTGATTTTTGTTTGCAGTTTAGGAAACAACCTTAACACCGAGTGGAAAGATGGGTAGCGTGGTTTAAATCACCTGATAACACCGTTCAGCGTCGAGGAGAGTTGGTTTCATCTTTGCGAATTCCTCGTCCATCTTCCTGAAACCCGCCAACTGTTGCTCCAGCTGAGCCCCACTGGGAGTGGTCTGAGCTGCAAATAACGCGTCGAGGGAGCGTTCCAGCCACGGGCCGAGTTTGTTAGCTTGGACGGCAAACTGCTGACGCAGGCGTTCATTGCGCTGTTGCTTGACCATTTCAGCGTCCAAAGCAGCGTCCCTCTCTGGCACAAGCTTCTGCACAAGGTCCCACCTATCTTGAAGTGTCTGCAGGACAGTAATGGCAAACGCTTTGTAATTGGACAATGTAATGTCGAGTCGATGGCTGTGATTGGCTTGTTGAGACGCCATCTGACTGAAGCACTTATCTGTTGACTACTCAAGTTTTAAGAACACAGAATACACGGTACACGTCTTTGCGCGGGTTTAAAAAAGAGAGCAATTCGTACATGGCCAGTCAACAGCGTGCGTTTTGCTGCGTTTTGGCCAATTAAACTTATGCTATTCGTGACCCCTAAATTACCTACCACAAGATCCATAAAGGCAGATATTTCTATATGGATTTAAACACATTCACAAAAAAGTAGAAAACTGTCATTTAACAGTCTGCTAAATTTTCCTTGTTGATACTTCAAGACGATATTCCGTTCAGTACTCGAAATAAGTGCTTAGTACTAAACCTTTTTTTCCGTATTCAGCAAAACGCTAAATCACAATTTCGACAATCATTGCGTTGTATAGTTTATGGGGTTTAATTTCCGACCAATAAGGATGAAACGAAGTGCATTTTAGTTCCGACGTTTGTGATTGGTTCAAACCTGCCAGTTTCAAGGTCAAAACTGGTCGCAGAACAATCGATTGACCGACTGGCTTAAAGTGAAGCTACCGCCTTGTGCCATTTGTGGCAATGCTTGATGTTGCAGCAAAAATCCCCTCTTTTTAGCTGAGTTGCAGTCGTTTTTTCAGGAAACTTTAACACCCGAGTTGTGGCAAATTAGCCTTTCCACGTTGCTTAGCCCGGGTGCGTTTCGACCACCCACATACACACTGCCCGTCATTAAATTGGGGTCAAGTGTGCTATATGACCTCTCAAAGTACCCTTTTTCTCGGCAGCTAAAACATCCACAAGACTCTACACAAACTGGTTTGGTGTTCACCGACTTACCTCATGCGTGACCATGGTGTAGGGATTGACAGCTGCTGCGCTTGGAAGGTTATGCAGTTGAATGAGTTGGTTAACCTCATTTGCCTCCTTCAACATGGCACTCAGTTCCCTCTCAGCTGCAGGCAGAGCCTGTTTGAACGCCTCGTGACCGTTTATCAGTTGCTAGGGCGAAATGTAGGACCAAATTGTCAGCAAAACTCCATATTGATCGTAATTTTGTTTAACTGAACTACGTCCACCATACTTACCGCGACTTCTTCAATTCGATCCGCAATGAACATGTCCTGCAGATCCTCCTGGGCTTGTTCCAGCCAATTGCTGAATGGCTAAAAAAGTGGAAAGTCCCATGAAGTGAGGCATTATTTGCAAATTTGAAGAAGTTTGAGATTAAAACAACTAGCTTACGCCAACACGTCTGGCGAATGACTGCTGGAGGGTGTCGATTTTCTGCAGCACATCCAGTCGTTTCTGCAAGACAAAAAGGCTTTTATATGTTGACAAGGTCACGTGACAAGGAGGTAATTAAAACAAAACACCAAGGTCAACTCTACGTTAATTTCGTCTCTCCGTTGGGCGGAAACTTCCCCGAGGCGGTCCCACTGCGAGACGATGTTCTGGGTGCGTTTGTTGATTGCCTCGACGCCGTCGTACTGAAGAGCACTGAAAAATTGGGGAGGAAGTAAATTCAGCATGTTGGATCCACACACACACGTAGATCCACCATCGGCTACGACGTACTTGAGTTCCTCGGCAATCGCGACGATGCGTTCCACACGAGTCTGGTGAGCACCGAGATCGGCTTCAAAAGCTGCCTGCTTCTGGGAGAGGGCCTTCAGCTGGGGAAACGAGGCGGTCTCGTAGTCTTTTTGGCAGAGAGCCGCCTCTTTGTCCTGCGACCAGGCCTCGTGGATGGAGCACTTGAGTTTGAACTTCTTCACCAAGTAGTCCAACTGTTCCAGTCGACGGATTTCCTGCAGCAGCCAGTCCTGAGTGCAACAGAAAACCAGCAAATCACATTCCGTGGAATTACAGACCTTCTGGTTACCAGGATAATTAAGAAATTGGAAACCGGTTGGTGGGTTGCCGGCCCCGACAACCAACCAATCAGCGTCTGGCGAAGGTGCACTGCAAAATCAGAGGTCGCTGAACTGACTAGTACGCCAAATAGTGCAGAAATAATCGATGTTGCCTCGAATCGGTTGAGCTGCTTTGATTAGGCGAATTACATTACAAGAACGGTACAAATTGCATGGCATAGATCGTCAAAACGATCCGATTTGATTGGTGGGTCAGTAATCCAATCAGGACAGGTGTAAATCCAAATTGCTTGATAATGTCAGGCCTTAATCTGACCCGGATTGTAACCATATTTGTAACCTCAAATCATGGGGATTTTTAGTAGTATGATGCGATTTAAGTAATTATCAGCCTCTTCAACTTGTGTACGACGTTGTGCCTCAAGTGACAGCAAGTTGCCGAGTTGAAAGTCATGTCAGACTGGAAGTCTTCACGATTATGCTACCTGCTAGCCGACATGTGCAAAATGAGGCCAGATTGGCTTTAACATCAAAGCATCGCCGGAAGGATAACAAACTAGCGCAATTACTGTGAGATAAGCAGGTGTGGCGTTAGCTTCCAATTAACCGACTAACTCTGCCTCTTGGATTAATACTTGTCGTCTCTCCAGCCACTACGAATGCCGATTGCGTGAACCCAGACACTATGTCCTGTAAAAATGCATGAAACCATGTGAACAGGTGGGACATTTCACCACAGAAATAGATTAGCCTGAATCGCCCAATGAATCGACGTTTCGTTAGGTAACCTTCGCTTGGAATTCCTAACAAAATAGTTTCAGAAGGCGTTAACGTGTTGCCCCACAGCATTCTTAAAGGCAGTTGTGTGTACTTGGAATATAACGATGTTGGGAAAGCTCTACTCCAATTTTGTGGAATTAAAACTTAAATTGCATGAAATCCAGATGCTAGTGACTTGTCAGACTGGTAATTACTTAAGCCCAGAACACGATTGGGCTAGATTAGTTCCGTGAATTGGACTAACATGGTGGGGTAGGAAAAGAATCGATATTTTTGTGGAAACCCGGGGAATCGACATACCTCAAAGCCCTTCTCCAGATCCTCCATGCGGTTCCAAGCGTCGGTTATCTCACCCACGGATTGGCCCTTGGGAGGAAGAAATGCCGGTCTCTTGGCTATCTTCAGCCGCGTCTGGATGGTCTTATTGAGGGCTTCAAGCAGCGCCTTGTCTTCCACGCGTGGCGGCTTCGCTGACCCCCGATACGCCGTGTACTGGGCCAGTTTCTCCTTCGCATGTTGCAGCGTTCCATCTATGGTCTTATCCTGAAGCAAGCCAAACAGCTTGTTGAGTAAAATTTACAGAACCACAATGATCCAGATAGATAATCAACTTATGAGGTCCAGGGATCGAAGTTGCTTGCTCAGCATAAATAGGAGGCTTTCTTGTAAGAAATTAGTAATTTTTTCAGAGTTCATTAGGTTCAACAAATGACAACTGACCGCCAGAAAGGGAATCTGGTTGTTGATCCACTTGAGTAGGTCTGATCCCAGTCCGGCGTACTGTTCCATGAGTTTTTCCGTATCTTGGTTTGACTTTAGGACTTTTGCAATCTTGCTGGCGGCTGACTCCGTCTGCAAGTGAAGATAACAGAACAACCTAAGTCACAGACATTGCAATTTCCCAACACATAAAATTATCCTCTTGGCTAGGATGCCTGGATGCCTGAAAATCTTAGAGCTTTCATCTGCAAACGTACGTTATGGGCATTGGCGAAGGCGTGGTAGTAGGCGGCGACATAGGTCATTACAGATCGCTCGTCAGGTCGGATGGTGTTGACCATATCTGCAAAAAAAGATGCACCACCTCAAAAATTGACACCAAGACGGCAGAAGTTCTCACAACTAGTCGGGTGTTTTCTGCACAACATCCAACTCAACATGACTCACCGTTGTGGCGATGATAAGTTAGAAAAGCTGCCTGAGAAGAACCATTATGAAAGTTGAGAATGGGAAAAAACCACACAGATTGAATTTCATGAAGATTTGTAAATTAATGAGAGCATTTTTTCAACAAAAAAAGACATGCAAACCTTCGGCGTCCAGCATTTTCGGAATGTCGAGGTGTTTTTCGGCCACATCAAAAGCGTAGTTTAGATTCTGGATCGGGTTTTCCTAGAAGACAAAGGGATCACTTTATCACAACGTCAAGTCAAAGTTTTAAGCCTAAGTACAGTAGTAAGAAATCAGAATAGAATACTAAATTCCAGTAAGTTAGTCTTAGGAAAAATTACCTTCGATAGTTTGGCATAGTCAATAAGTTCTGGCCGATGACGGTGAATCAATGCGCAGAAAGCAAGGCCATCTTTCCAACTGTAAGAAGCGAATTACAGCTGATAACATGGTTTAGCACAAATTCCTAAAGCAAAAGAGACGCTGGACCTCACGTACCTCGTGTGGAAGTTTTGAACATTTACATTGCTATATGGTGCGGTTTTACGTTGACACCACAGAAGCAGACCTTCCTTCGCATGAAGTTCTGTTAAACAAACAGAATTCATAATAATCGAGTTCAGACACAATATTGTCTTCAAAAATTAGAAATGACTAATAAGATCATTCATATTACTTTGAGGTGCGGCCACTTACAAGAATAAAATTACAAACTATATTGGTCCTAAGTATCCGTTAGTACCGTAAATTAAATTATTTCAACTTGGCAAAAAAGTAAATTGCCTTAAAGGTAACGCTAGATATCAGATTAAGCCTAACAAGATCAGTAGGTTAAAAAAATTATTTTTAAAAAAATTCAAGCATGATCCATTTATTCTTAAGATGTGCATTCTGTACTGCACAGTTTACTTTCTGTTATTTTGTCCTCAATTTTGCAGGTGGAATTCCGAATCGATATAAATTTAATGGTTGGCTGACCAAAAGTCCCAACAATTAAAAATGATTATACGATTATATCTCATAGCAAATTAAAAGGCATTCAAATCAGCTAATAGCTTACCTTCAACCGTTATGTCTTGAATGCAGAAACGTAAAATAATGGTCCAAATCATGCCGAGAGTCATTTTAATATTACCATCAACAATTTCTACAACGATTTAAAAAGCAAAGCCAAAGTTACGCTCAGCACCAATTGACACAAGCTGTACACCTTTGCTTTCTATGTATTTTAAGGCTTTGTTGACATTTGTTATCATATGAAAACGCATCTTCCCACGATCTGGCTTCGGTAAAGGTTCTTCGGCAAGAGTTTCCAATAGTTGCAACAATTTCAATCCATCTCGGAAGTCAACCTCAATGTCGTTTATACATGTGTTTGCTTTTCGCAAATAGGAGTTACACCATGCGGTAAATGTCTTTGGCAAACAATATTTGTTGCAAAAAATTCATACCTTTTTCTGCTGGATTTCCCACATAGGATCCAAGTAACTTTCCCGATCCCATTCCTCTTCCTCTTCAGGCTCAATGTGTGTGTCATAGTAGACGTCATTTTGGTAGTAAGCAGGGGTATTATTGTAATAGTACTCCATTTTGCCCAACCCACACGAAGAACGGAAACGCCAAAAAGTTTCAGAATTACCACTGAAGTTCAAGGACTAAAGTGCAAATTTAGCTAAACACATAAACAGTTTAAATAACCTATTTATACTTACCAAAAAATAATTTCATAACATATCATAAAATTGCACATAGCCAAAAAGTATTTTTTTTAATATTTTATCAATTGCGATCAATGGGTTTGAATTTTAAGTCGTGGGTACACAAGCATGTCTTAAATCAAGGGTTAAAAAAGAGTCAAATGATTCAGCATTTAGGTGGCTTTGCATTTGTTTTTTTATAACATGACATAAAATCATTGTTGATAGTAATTTTTTGGATAAGTTATTGTTAGCTCCTCAATATAAATATTCAGCAGTTCTTAAATTTATTTAACAGGAGGTCCTTTCATTTATTAATCATGAAAAAAATCCAGAGTTATAGGTAAAAAGGGATATTTTTATAACATCCTACATTTTAATAAATGTTTGCTTCAGATTGCGATCAAAATTACTATTTCTTCTTGATCAAGTATTAGCATAAGAAATTTTCAACAGAATTCTTTACAATAAATAGCATTCATCAAGTGACACACCACCTGACCTTACTCTGAAATTAAATAACATTCATTTTTGTTCACTGAAAAAATTTTACATTATGATGAATGTTTGAATCATAGTGGGGTAAATCACAGCGGCTTGAAGGAAATTTTTATGTGTCAGATTCCATTGTAGTCAGATTTCCACAGTTAATACGATGATGACAGTTACATTTTTCCAGAAAATGTAATGCAGAAACAAAACTTGAATGAAAATTTAGACGCAGTGCTTTCTTGATAACGTTTTAACCACTTTCGTTTTAATTATAATCTTTGTTACCATTTTCATCTAGCCAAAATGCATCGCCACTGAATCTGTTCAAGAAATGCAAAATGTGCACCACTTGGAGTTTTGCCTGACTTCAATTTATCGTAAAGGTCATGTTTTCTTTGCCCATAGGACTTTGCAATTATAAATTTGAATTCTGATATCCTATTTTGCACTCAGAATTGGTGACTCCTTTGGCCGAAGAATACTAAATGCTTAATTTGCACCCGACTTACATATATTAGTGCTTTTAAAGCGACAACACGGATTTCTTTTAAACATTCTTAAATAGGCAAACACCACGTCATCTAGCATTATTTTGGATGTGTTTTGGAAATAACAGGCTTCTTCGAGCACGGGATTCTTATTTCTAATCTAAGCTGCAAATGAATGGTCTTTTTGTAATTTCGGCATCGTTAAATGCATTCACGTGTCATTCATGATTGGCAAACTAGGCTGAGGGACTCAGACTAGCTGCGTGGGAACCGGTCGATGAAATTAGCTTGATTTTGTCAACAAAATGAGGGTTGATGATACTCTTCTGTTCAGATACACAGAAGAAAAATGTGTTTTGGGCCCCATTATGTGGTCTTGAACCACGCCGGGGCCACGGAATTAACCCTGGCCCGATTACGCTTCCCTGATACTTGCGATGAAGGAAAAGACCGGAGAGGGCGTGGGCACAAGCGTTTACTTCAGAGGTCAACTACGTTGGTGTCGTTGTGTCGTGTGTGGGGTTTGCGCGTGTGTATTCATGCCTCAGATGCGCAAGTCATAGATACGCTAACATCGTGTCCTAGGTGTGACGATAATCCAAGATAAATATTTGTCGAATGAGTGAGGAGTTGAGGATCCGCGCGGATAACTACTTGCTGCGTAAAGGGCAACCTTGTGTCGGAGGCTGGAGCGGCCGGATTAAAGAGTGTATATAAACGCGATTCACAACAAAATCATTCCTGGTCACCTGTAAGTGTTCATGGTAAATGTGCTTGTCAACATCGCCAAACACCCCATACTACCTTTGAATATGAGTACTAGTTCATCGCCACAAATTACTCCATACAAGTCGTCGTTATTTGTTTGCAAATATCATCTTCTGATTTCATGCCAGCCGGCTTTGAAAATACCATAGGCTGTAGTTGATTAGTTAAAACAATTTATGCGTCCTGACAGTACATTCAAACACACCAATAATCGAGTTCTACTTAAACGAATCTGACACAGTCCACTGCCTCCATAGACCTGACATTCAAATGTTATCAATGACCACTGATCAGCGCATTCACTTGACAATTCAAATTTAAACTGACATGACCTTCAATTGACATGTTTTTGCTGATTTAGAGACTAATTCGTAGTTGCGTGTTTTAATGAATGAGCTTGTCAGAACTACAGCGTGGTACAAGCAAAGATAAGTTAGAGCAATAGTCATTTGCGAATAAAGCTAGGTTAATATGTTTTTTTTTTCAAGACAAAAATAAACTATTTTCATAGCCACAGCCTCTGGAGTGAGCTTAAACAAGCTCTTTTGCACGTCCTAGGTTGCAACTTGCGAAACTTCAACGCATATCTCGTGTTTTTGTCCCAACTATCACTGTTGTCTGAATTAATACTACACCTTCCTTCACACGTGAGTCTATTTGAACACGAAGATAAAAAGAAAGATAAACAAACATTCTGGAGTAGACTCATGGTCTTACACCAATACCGCAAATAACTTATTGCACAAAACAGGATGTCGGAGTGATCAAGAAGATATGGTGTTGAGTGGGGCTAAATGTGCATAAGAAATAACAGAGAATCAAACAATTGTGGATTCAGTAAAGGCATCTTTCCTTCAAAATGCTAAAGTTGATTGATTTCAAGGTTACATTCAACTAACTCAAACAAAAGTAATTTAGAGCACACTTTGAGCATGGACTTTGAATATCGACAACAAACAGTTAGTGAATTAAAACAAACTGAGTACGAATATTCCTAAATACCCTCCAGTATTTTAGCCCGAACTTGGCTTCATTTTCTAGCAGAGTGACATAATCTCCAAAGAGCTTCTGTAAAATATATCCAGATAACTCACTACGGTCAAATTCATCATCCAGGCAATTCCGCCTCGATCTGGCGTAGTTTGCGATCGATTTCATCGATTTTTTGCAGTCCTCGTAGCAAGTGAGTCGCGTTTGTTTTAATGGGTGGGTTTATGACTTCACTAATCCAGTTTTTGTCGCTGATTCTATCGTGTGTTTAAAATTCAAAACAAAAGAAGCACATTTTTTCAGACCACAATTGACGTGGTAGGTTAAAAATGTACACAATGATTGACGTCGTGGAAAAAAATGACAAATTGGTTTCAGCTCAAAAACTGTGCCATGCTTCAAGGAGATCGGTAAGGATTTGATTTAATTGGCTGTTTCAACTCGGTCATTAAAACTATATTAGTTTCAAGCGATAATTGCAGTGATTGTGGGATTTTATATGTTAGAAACTATTTTTAGAAATCTCAATTTATTACCTGGAAGTAGAGAATATTTAAGAATTACCCGAAATGAGCCGAGAAGTAATTTGTGCGCTATTTCTGGCACACCCACCCACGTTCACCAAAAACGAAGTTAATCGTAATTTTGTGATGGTGTAGAGGGGTGGGGCAAACACTTTTATTGTCATTAGACAAAGTGAATTGCAGTTGTTTGCACTCAAGAGTACATTGTTTGAGGTTGTTTACGTGGGTTAATTTAAACAAAAAAATTACCAAGCACCAATGCAATGAAAGCCAATTTGTCAGTTTAGAGATCGACAATGCCTAGTCTTGGAGGTTTAAACTGACAAATTATAGACCTCTGAACTAATGTGGTAAATGATAACTATGAGGAAATGCTAGAAAGTACCGCTGTCGTTGGGACTTTGATGGAAATGTTTACTTAAAATAATATTTTAGAGGTTTGTGGAGCACTGAATGTACGAGTTTGGCCGTAAATTCCCTCCATTTTAACTATAAGCTAAGAGCGAATCGGACAGTTGACAAGCAGTTTCGACAAGACAGATCACCGAATTCATCTGATTCGCGAAAAATCAATTGAGCAGCATAACAGCGCCATTTATAATTTCCGCGACTGAATGTCTTTAACCCTGTTCGTACTTTGATCTAACTTTTCGCTTGAACCAATCAAAATCAAATGTTCTATTGCCTGCTGTCATTGATTGGTCATTAACGTAAAACTGATATTATGATATGGAAGATTGAATGAATTGGAATCATACTGAACCAAATTATGTTAGTAAGGGTTAAATCGCCATACTCTTGTTGAGCACGATAGTTAGGAGTAAATTGGTCAAATATTTAACCAATCAGGAGTTTGTAGTGATTTGCTGGCATGACCTTGCAACCCTTAAGTTAAGAGACCTTAAAAACCCGAGAACAAAGACAAGGCAGGAGACAAAGGATACAACCATTTGTTAGCATCAAGCCAGATAAATGACTTGTGCGAATGAATTCGCTTGCGTAAAAGGCAACTTGTGACATGAACCAATGAAAACAGAGGATGCGTAATTGCAATCGATAATCATGCAGGCGAGTCTCACTCACACGCGATCGATAAGAGTGCATTCTAAGTTCAATACATTACAAACCACAAATTAACAGCCAATTTAACCCCAAGACGAGTACACCAATTGTTTTCTAGTTTACGATAACTGCCTCTGTTTTTACTTTGGTAATAGAGCCACAGTGTGGGTTTAGTGTCGATGGATGAAGGCAGTTCCTCTCATATTTAATTCAACACTTCTTATGAGACCTGAATTTTAGAAAATTAGTTTTTGTAAAAGTACAGATATCTTGAGAATGCATTATGCCGTACAAGAATTACGATACTGCAAATGATAAACAAGAATGTGAATGGATTAATCGTACACATATGAAATTATTAAACCTGAAATGCCTAATGTGAAAACTCACACCAAAAAACGACATTTGTCCCTTTTCTGGGTAAGTGTGGGATATGTTCTGATTTCTTAAATGTATCGTCTTAACCTGTGTTAAAACCTCAGAGATGGTTTTTTGTTAAACCAACCTCAAATCAATATTACTGTATTGAATGCCTTGCATATAGCATATATGTGCGACCTTACGCACTTCCCATTGGCCCCAATTTTTACACCAGACTAAAGTTATCGAAAATTCCGGCAGATTAATAACTAATAGGGTTTCATGCCGATAATTTACTAAAGCCAACATGCGGCAACACTACTGACATTTAATCCTAGTTAAACCATGACAATAAGTTTACATAAAGAAATAACTCAAAACATTGGCTTTTTTTAAAAATTGTTCACGGTCATCAATTACGAAGTCAGGCCAGGTTTGTGAATGACAGACACGTCGATACAAATACGGGCAAATTTAACTTAATTCACTGTCCTCGATACTGTCCACTGTTAAGGTTGTGAATTTGATGTCTCTCAAAGCTAAAAAGATGTGAGATTTAAGGGAATTAACAAATAACTCTTTTTTAAGGGTGGCATTTGTGTTTGCAAGATTTGCACTTAGATTTCAAACCATTTGGTTACTTGTTTGCATCGAGCATCGTAACACGGGCAAGAATTGATTGATCATCCACAAGGCTAATTTTTTGCACAGAAAACTAATTTTTAGAAACCCGCATATTTCATGGTTTCCTGTTCCCAAAACGCATGACTAAGTGACCTTATGATTGTTGATTAAAACATTTTATCGATATGCCACACATAGACACACTGAGTTGACCCTTCGAAATGACTTTCATTGGACAACTTTTATTGGTTTAAAGCAAATTTGAAAGATTTGGTCTAAAACCAAAGCCAGCAAACACGCGTAGTGACATTCGTTATTGCACACGTCATTGTTATGCGTCTTGTTTTGTTCCAAAAATCAATAAGTGGGTGCGTGCGGCGTGGTCAACCGTAACGCATCATGTTCCCGACAAGGTGGGGTCTGGCGATGAGTTTGCGCAGGAGGTCGTGAGAATGTCTGGAGAATTCACCGCCGTTCAACGACAACTTGGGCGCCCCCTCGGCCGAGAGCAGCGCCAGCAACCGTCCCAAATTCCCGTCCACGAAGCCTTCACCACCGACACCCTCCACTGCCGGCTGATCCAGGAGTTGCAGGTTCAACGGTCCGCCGAACGCAAGTCGTATTTCAGCCGACCATGCAAGCAAGGTTATCAGCCACGCCAGACGCAGCGGACGCATTTCTAAACAGAAAGGGCTCACTATGAAACCAGATAAACACAATGCAGAATTCACCAATGACGTTTGAACACGTGATCCGAAAATTCACTGAAATCGAACAAACTGACCAACCGGAGCTGCTAAATTGTCAAAAGGGGCATGTGTGATGAACTTCAGCTAGTCGTGATTGGTGCATATAATGGCACAGTTTAAATAAACAACGATTTGAATTCTGCCCAGGTTATTAATAAAAAACGAATACGACATGGGACTCTGGTATTTCAAAATCTAATAATGTCGTTCATTGATTTGCAAAATTTTCAGAATACAAACAATGATTGAATTCTGAAAACGTGTAATTATAATGCATGAATAAAGTCCTGCTTATTAATTTGTAATGTGTTGTCCGAAAAAAAACATAAGTTGACGAATGATGCGTACCTTTGTAGGTTTCGTTAGCACTAAATTTCTTGATGCGATGGGATTTATTTATGCGAAAGCACACTGTCAATGAAATTACTAATTGGTTACACGCAGCCAATGAGATCTCACCATTAAGCATGACTCCGAGGGGAACTCTAATTGGTCACTTTGATCAACCAAGCGCATTTCAAGTAAACCAATGGCTGCGGAGTTCCACTGATGGCCCAAATAACCTCAACATCGAGAAGCTTAAATTGCCGAAAAAAATAAACACAATGGGATTAATCAAAATTATTTCCAAATAATTATTTCAAATGAATTTATATTACCCTAAGTTTGTTTTATAAAATAAAACAACTACCTACCGAGTGCAAGGTTTCAAGGGACTTATCAAGGGCGTATATTTGATTCGTTGAGACTCAGATTGTAGTCAATTTTTTATTCCTCGAACATGATAGGCATCATCGTCAATATTTTTTTCAAATGAACCTGGTGCAATCGACAATGATTATTGTCTGTCTTCTATGATAGTTGAAAAGTCGTGAATTCCAAACTAACCAATAAGGAGTTTGCTGAAACTGAATTCGCGGTGACCATTGGATGACAACCAGTTACCAACGATAACTCCAGAATCGGACATATACAGATACGGCGGGCGATTTATTGTCTGCCATATAGAGACGGAATTGTTACCGTCAGAGTTATGTCAGTTTAATGGAAGACTTTTATGTCAGTTTAAAAACCAATGCCATAAAACCACAGCTTAGGTGTGTCTAAAGTACGCGGGTTATTACACAGCTTTTAAAATTTATTTACACAAAGTGGACAAGAAATATATCATGTGTCACTATGTAAGCCAATATTTTTCCTAGTTCCCATCATCGTTCACTGTGTTTAAAAAACATTTACCTGTCACTTTTGAGAGGTCTTGAAACTGAAGTTGTGGCTACGTACCTATTGGTTACCTGAAAATTTTACAATAAGATCGTCATTTTTAATTTGAATCAAGTCACCTAAGTCGATATTCGATGATTAGCACACTGAAACTAGGAAAGGTGGTCAAGCGTAAGATTGTCAAATTTTCGAAAGTGCCTTTGGTAGCACAGATCACAAGTAAGCATGGTTGTTCTGCCGCGATTCTCACAATTCCAAATACTGAAATTTGATTCGCTAAGATGTCGACTCCGCGCAGGTTTTGAAAATATCGATGCCGCCACTCAGAGTGTTGCTTTTGTGCACTGTTCCGTGATTGATTGGTCATAGCTATCGACCAACTTCTCAGGCACCCAGTTTGGTTGTCCCGTCAACATCTAATCATCTCAGACTATTCTTAACGACAACCAATAGCCTTTCTTCAAACTTAACATCAACCCGATTAAGAGACACGGGGCGCTTTGTTAATAATTTCACTTTAGACGACATGTTTTAGAACAACTAAACACAGTTTCTATCGTCAAAGGCTGTTAAATTCTGGCGTAATTTGACAATAAGTTCCGGAACAAGCAGTTGGAAATTGTGAAACGGCGAAACGGTCTCAATTTGAATTTTTGAACCAAATCATCGTTCGAACGGTTGCAGGGTATTTGTAAAAATACTGCTACTAAATTAACATTAGTAATACGTATTATTCGGAGTGGGCTAACGAGGGCATTAAAACAGATAGGGCAAGAAATATAATCAAAACGTCATTTTCAGTGGATAAATTTTGTTTTGTTGAATGATCTACTTGCTTTCATTGATTTATTGATTTTTATTCACTGATGAATACTTATTTTAAAAAATTTAAGTTTCTTTAAATTTACTGACAAACATCACGCATTTGGTCCCGCAACTACGAAAACAGTTGCCCAAATCCTCATCATAATGCAGTTTGATAATTTTCTAAAAACAATTTATGCCCTCAAATTCTATCCATTAAAGTCATTAATCACCAAATCACGTCATTTGTACGCTACAGTCTAGTTACATCAAAACCGCACAACAGCCAAGCCAATTTTCTTTCTTTCGCATATCTCATTTAACGTGTGCTTCGAAAAAAATAACACAAAGCACCAGCGTATCAACCCGTAACAAGCAAGTGTGGTGTTTATTGAAAATTCGCCATGGAAGTTCTGTGCGACCAATAAGAAGACAGCTGCAGAAATCGATCGATAAACGTGGAATTTAGAATGGCCCTTTTATTGCTAGGTTACCCAACCACAAATTCCAACCTTTAACTATAAAAACATGCACTGCCATTTAGCACTAGCTAAACTCGGCACTGCTTTTTTGACAAAAAAAACAAGAATTCGTTTAAATACTTAGGCTGCTATTTTTGGTTTAAATGAGCTACTGATTTCAACAGAAACTGATTCTCATTTAAAGTCAACTTCTGAAATGCACAATTTATCAAAATTGATGTGGTTTCGTGTTTAAATTGACAGTATCGGAAATCTCCTTACAGATTTGAATTAACCAATCAAATGTAGGTCGTGATGTGTGCGGACTATGGCAGCGGATCACTCAATTTCTCCCACTTCTGAGGCGCACGAGCACAAAATCGAGTCCAGAACCAATCGTAACGCTCGAGCTCAAAATTGTGTTTGAGATAAAAAATTGTTTTGCGGTCTTTTGGTGTTTTGAAAGGATTAAACTCAAGGTTTTGGATCACAGAATGACAATCTTTATTGTGTTTAAATTATCAACTACCTCAAGTCAATAATTGAAAACCTGTTCACAAAATCGCATTTTTGTGCACCTAAATCTTAGTCAAATTTGCGAGCGCTCTCATTGGTCTCCTACGTGAGTGTGAAGGTCACTGGGATGTAGGGTTCTGATTGGTGCAAGAATGGGCTGGTATCAGTTTAAGGTTCCTTGGGCGGAAAAGCGTCTTTAGTCAGTTGATACGAATTGGGACCCTGTTGCCAATGTAACTATTTGCACCAAGGCAACCTAGGCGCCTATTTCGCAGCCAAAAATCGGATTGGCCTTCATGTTGAACGACCTTGAAAGAAAATACGTCAGTAGTGTCAACCGGGTCACCGTTTGTACAAACCAAATTTGTAAGTTTATTTTGACTTTTTGAAATTTATTTTAATTCAATGCGATTACATTTAAACAAGTACTTTTTTATTGACATTACTCTTTAGTGATGTGACCTCTTATTTAATTGGCTCATGATTAAATTTATTAATTATAAGCTGACAAATTAGTCCACTTTCGGAAATTTGCACACATAGTTTCATTCTTGAATTATACATTCTAATCACCCATAAATATTTTTAGCAATATTGGCTGCCAAGAATAAGTCCTTTTTCTAAAATTATAGCCTATATTTAACGATGATAATTTGGGCATGATTTCCAGCTATTCGAGAAGCCAGTTTATCCAATAACTGAATTTAGGACAGAATTTAGTGGTCTCTAAACAGTTTATTAGAGATTAATTCCGTAAAACCACTGACCTGTAATGCTATTTGAAAATAACCTGGATCGGAACTAAATCAATTTGAAAATGGCGAAATGCCATTCAAATTTGTTTAAATCGATCGCACTTAAAAAAATTGTTCAGGCAAATTTAGTAGCAATACATTTAAAACACACACTAAATCGCATTTTATTGTCGAAGATTTCAACATTATGATCTTACCCATTTTCACCATCCTCGAGATTTGGAAAAATGCAAACATTTAACCTTTTTTGGTATTTTTAAATGAGTGATATGTAGTTGGCATTTTCGATATGTCTGTCAGCAAGATTTGCAGCCGGCACAGTCTGTGGATTTTTTCTAAATGCCACTACTTCGCACCATCAATCAACTACGCGTCAAATTGTATTCGCTCGCTACATTGTCCTAACACTTCACAGGCCCGCGTAAAGATGGCACTGCGATTTAAACAAATCGATGTTAGCGGGAAATCGATTTCTAAAATGTGGTTCTTTAAACTCACACCATAAGAGTCGTGGTTAGTATTTAAACCAGAGTGATTGGAAAATCGATTTTATCGAATTTACCGTTGCAAACTGATGACACTTTTGACTTAAAAGTGCGGCATGTTGCGGGCGTAAAAGCTACCGAAATGGCATTGAAAATTTGTTTAAATCGACTGCAAGTAAAAGCGTTGTTTGTGCAAATTTAGTAGCGGTACCTTTTAAAAAAACACGCAAAATTATATTTTATTACCAAATATTTCAACATTACGATTTTATCCATTTTCACGATCCTCGAGATTTGGAAAAATGTACACATTACACCAGTTTGGTATTTTTGGGTGTGAGCAACATGCAGTTGGCAATTTCGATATTCCTGCCAACGCTATAGAAATTTCATCCCTTTTCAACTTGATTCGCAGCCGATGCAGTCTGTGGTTTTTTTAAATGCACCATCTCGCACCATCAATCAACTACGCGTCAAGTTGTATTCGCTCGCCATATTGTCCTAACATTTCACAAGACCGCGTAAAGATGGCGCTGCGATTTAAAGAAATCAAAATTAGCGGAAAATCGATCTCCTACAATATGGTCCTATAAACAATAGTCATAAGCATTGTGACTGGTATTTAAATCAGATTGGAAAATCAATTTTTTGGTCATTGGAAATGTGATATTAAATGTTAACTTAATTTTTTTACTTTATTGTCAAAAGACAACAAACAGCAGGCAAATTTTCTTTTAATTTATCGTAACAATTTGATGACAATGTTGAGGAAGAAGAACATAATTAAGTGAATATTGTGTGTCTAGGGTTAAAAACGGACAATTTAGTCGCAAGGTCATGACTGTACTAACGTTTCACAGGCCCGCGTAAAAATGGCGCTGGGATTTAAACAATTTGAAATTAGCGGGAAATCGATTTCCTTCAACGTGGACTTCTAAACTCAAACCATGAGTGTTGTGGTTAGTATTTAAGCCAGAGTAATCGGAAAATCGATTTTATCGAATTTATCGCAGCAAACTGATGACACTGTTGGGGAAGAAGAACATGATTGAGTGAATATTGTGTGTTTGGGGTAAATAACGAACAATTCAGTCACAAGGCTACGATTTACTTATTGTAAGATGAATTAAGGCGGCATTTGATAACCAGAAAACAGCAGTTTTCTATTTCCACATAAAAACTTTTACATTTAACCAGGCGTTAATGCATTCCCGGTTTGGCAAACTTGTGGTGAATATGTGAAACAATTGGCTACCGTGAAACACGACCAAACAACTGTTTGCTCTGCTCGTCAAATAAAAGTTCTGAACGCCATATTAATGTGCTTGCTTGTTGATGGTTTTAGTCCTCCTAAAAACGCCTTTAATCCTGAAACAAAAATTAAATAATTTTCAGTTTGCACATAAAATTTTTCTGGGGAAAATGTGTCTGCATTTGAATTCATTGGCAATTTCGCGGTCGACTGGAGTTAATGCCTTGACTTAGAAGTTGTGTTAAATGTCACGACGACACGCGAAGTTATGGTTATGGCCGATGCCGTTGTTTAAATTAAAAAAATTCAACATTTGAAAGAAATTTTGACGCAGTCACGGAACAAGCCGCAAGATTGTAAGACGCTGCTTTTAATAAATAATAGTACTACTTGGTATCTGAAAAAAATTAATTCGTAACATTTAGTATGTTTGCTTCGATGCGCGTAAAAATCTTGTTTAAATCGGTCGTTTCTTATTGGCTAATACAAAAATCGATGTTGTAGATTTTGTCCAGTGATACCGTAGCACAGCTCTGGTAATTTTTTTTTAAATGTGTGCCTGCAAATTTGATTTTATCGTTACAATCAAAATAGACTCTAAATTATTTCAATAAGTTCCGTGAAAGGGCCAAATAAATTGGCAGTAAATCATCCCTTTTGTTTAAATCGGGTTCTGGTGTTGATTGCACTTGACGATGGCAACGAATCATTTTTGACTGGCTGAGCTTCGCGACGTCATTGAACTCTTTTGCACACAAACAGCTGTAACCTAATTTAATATATCGATTATTGATTTTTCGTACACCTGCACATCTTTGTTTATCTGCGCTGAAACAAGCTGGCGCGCAAAATGAAGCGCATTTTCTTTCCAAATATGCGAGTGAAAGATTCTGGATCTTATCAAATTTTCGTTAATTTTAAATCTCATATCCGGAAATTTTGGTAAAATGAAGTTTTTGTGGAGTCTGTGCCACACGAAATAGCTGGTGTTTGCATCGCTGTTGTAGCAATGACACTTCGCATTCTCCTGCAAGTGATGCTGGTCAACTCAGCACTTGGATCCTACTGCCTGGAAGGTTTCACCTCGCCAGACTGCAACAATTTGGAGGGGATTCTTAGCAAACAGTTCGTCAATTACTCGCGCTACGAGCGTCCGAAATACCCACGTAACTGTTCCGGCCATGGCGACAACGACACCTGCAATGACGCTGTCTTTGTTGAGGTCAATTTCTTCATCAACGCCTTCAGCTCCATCAGCATCGTCGACATGGACTATCAGATAGACTTGTTGCTGCGTCAGCGTTGGTACGATCCGCGTCTCAATGTTTCCGACAGGTATAGTTACACCGACGCACCGATCCACCTCTACATGCGCGATATCTGGTTACCTGACCTCTTTTTCCGCAATGCTAAATCAGGCAATGCACAGTCCAACGCCTCACCCAACACGCTCGCATGGGTGAGCTCTAGTGGCATGATCACGTACAGTCAAAAGATCAGCGTGTGTCTTTACTGCCACATGCAGCTGTGGGATTTCCCAATGGACACGCAATTTTGCTCCGCCAACATCGGTAGCTATGGTTACTCGACCAAGGACATGGAATTTCGTTGGTGGAATCAAGACGGCTACGATATTGACGGGAGGAAGCGCAACGGATCCGTCCTTAACACCGCGGTCACCTTCGGAGGCGATCTCAGGCTGAATGAATTCGATATTTTAGCGCACAACTGCTCCTACTGCTACAAGGCGTACAACGCCACCGGCAACTTCACGTGCCTGAATGTGGAGTTCAAGTTGGGCCGGAAGTTCGGCTTCTACATGATCTACGCCTACTTGCCGTCGTTGCTGGTGGTGCTCATAGCGTGGATGTCGTTCCTGATCGACTGCGACGCGACCGCCGCGCGTACGTCGCTCGGACTTCTCACTGTGATATCGCTTATTACTCAGAGCGCTGCAGTGCTGGCGCAGCTTCCACGGGTGTCCTACATCAAGGCCATCGACATCTGGTTCTTCGTGTGCTTCTCGTTCGTGGTCAGCGCCCTGCTGGAATTCGCGTTCGTCAACACAGCGGCCAGACAAGAGGCGAGAAATCGCGGTTGGGTGCTGGGTGACACCTCGATTGACGACCTCGCCACGCCAACGTCTGGAAACGAGAGCTCACAGTCGCCACGGCGACGTAGTCGTGCGCGCAAGAAGGTTTCGGTGCGTCTGACGAAAACCCTCCCCATTTACTGTCTCACGGCGCGCCGTCTCGACCGACTGTTTGCCATCTTCTATCCTGTCTGCTTTGGCGTCTTCAACGTCATCTATTGGTCAATCTACCTGGGCAATGGATCGATTCCGGACGATCGATTTCGTCGATAAGAGAGGGGGAGTTCTTTTGAAACTAACTCCTGATTCTAATCAATCACTAACCTCGTTGAAATGATCTGGGTCAAAATTTCGACCCTCAATTATGCTAAAGCGTTATATTCGGAGAAGACATCTAGCGATTAATTGTTTGGTCTAACATTTAACGCGCCTGATTGGTTCCATTACACGACATAATGTACTGGTCACACATTATAGGTGTTGATAGGTAACCACAATCACGATTTGTCTTCGATTAACCTGATTTTACCTAAAATTACCACCTATATTATAAGTGATTGCTTAGGTGATACGATCAGTAATGTTCGAATAATTCAAGCTACTTATATACACTGAGCAGGACAGGTTGCGTAACTGCGCTACCATATTTGAACTCCCTATTCTAACCAGCCACTAGCCTTGTTTAAATTAACTGGGCCGAAATTTCGACCCTCAATTATCGCAAAGCGAAATTTTTAAAATTCGATGGAAAAAACGTCTACAAGTTCATTGATTGGTCTCTCATTTGACGCACCTGATTGGTCCATTGCACGACAAAATTTATTGCTCATTACGACAAGTGTGCATCATAAGTACCAGATGTTGATAGGCAACCACAGCCATGGTGTCTCAATTAACATAATTTTAACTAAAATGCACACCTACTATCTTATAAGTATTTGCTTAGTTTACACGGTCAACTGTAACCCAAAAAATTAAAACTACTTATAAACACTCAGTAATGTGAATTACACTTCGACGCATTACGCTAAAATATCTTGACTTCTTATTCTTACTAATCGATAAACTTGTCGAAGTTAACGCGGCTAAAATTACGATCCTCAACTATGCTAGAGCTTTATATGCGGGGGAGACATGTAGCCATTAATTAGTTGGCCTATTATTTCGCGCACCTGATTGTTCCTTTACACAAAATTTATTGGTCATTGCAAAAATTGTGCATCATAAGTGCCAGATGTTGACAGGTAACCACAATCAGGGTTTGTCTATGATTAACGTGACCATACCGAAAAATTAAAGCCTCCTCAGCCGGCTTTACAAGTATTTGCTTAAATTATATCGATAAATATTTAAAAATTCAAACTACTTATAAACGCTCAGTAACACGAGTTGCGTTGCGCCACTGTATTTACACAATCTGCACTACACACCACTAAGACGACTAGGAAAAAATTGATTGCAAGTGTCAAGAGCTGAGATTGGTTAATCCGGAGGTCAATGCGTGTGACATGCCTGTCTGGAAATTGCAAAAATAAGCGAAATGTAACGGAGGCGGAAGCAATGTGATCCTGTACAGCTTGAAGAAGCAGTCGATGACAAGTCCCACTAGAAAAAAATCAATGACGCAGTCGAATTGTCTCGTCGTCGTTAACCGAGGGCTCGTAGTAGCGCAGCTCCTTCAGCCTGGCGAAGTTCATTGCCACCGAGCACGTGAGGAATAACTGCAAAAACCCAGCAAAAAACCGTGTTAACCACAGTTCGGCCAATCGACTTACAGAAATCGGTCGCTTACGAAGCCAATCATGGTGATTAGAGCGCCGAGGAAGGCAACAGACGTAAAAATCAGTGAGGTTCTGATACGCGTGCTCAAATCCGTGGAGTCCAGCATCAACGGTTTGCCGTCCATGTCATACAGACCTGGTAAACAAAAAACCGTAAAAAAACACGCTACTCAGTCTTTGTAAGTAGAACGTACTTGTTAAACGCACCATAATATGACCAATCGATTTTGCCCGGTTCACACTTGAAGTAGCTGGCGATCACCTCGGTGGGGTTCACGTCCAGACCGACAATCCTTGTATTTCGAGGCTGGAAAGCGAAGCTAGGCTCTGGGCTAGTCAGAGAGGCACTGTAGGTGTCGGTCTCCAATGCTGGCGCAAACTCCTCAACTTGACGTGCAGTTCGAACGAGGCCGTCGTCGGAATTGACAGAGCGTGCTGGCCCAGCATCCCGATAGAGCACAAGAGCACTACTCATCACGGGATAGGACAGGAGGCAGGCTACCAGGGCCCAGAAGGTGACCGCGATGACCAGGCAAACAAGCAGCTGTAAATTCACAAAAAATGGCGGCGTTATGCGTGAACTTCGGTTCCGCGTGAAGTGTGTTTGCATCTGCGTTGTGTGTTTGTTTTTTGGGTTGGCAAGCGGTAACCATCACAAAATCCGCGCCACCTCCCCCCTTAAGTGTGATTTACACAACTGCCGGGGGCAGTACGATTTAGCGTCACCAGCACAAATGCCGACAGAACACAACGCATTCAAGGTCAACAATCGGGGGGAGTTTGAGACACTTTGGATGGAATTTCGAAATTAGGCAGGGTAAAAACAGTAGCACCATCACCACCACCACCACCGCCAATCCTTTCCGCTACATGCATTCCCACCTGCTAAATACATTAACCTTTAGGGGGTGAAAGCAATTTGTTAAAGTATTGGCCCCTCCACCATCCACCTCCTTTCAACCAATCAAAGCTTGAGAGGAGTTGAGCGATGTTCACATTGGTGGAGGCGCGTAAACACGAGGATGAACGGTGAAAGCGTTTTCAATTTCCTACAACTAATCCAAAATGGACACACAAGGAGGCATACTAGCTTTGCTAGTTGATACCACCTGGCACACTACCATAACTATAACTGATTGAACGATACTACTAACAAAAATGTAAGTAGTGACTGCGCGAGTCTATGCACAAGTTTTCACATTGTAAATGTCACCTCCACCAAATTTTTTCTTTAGGGATAAAATTTGCCGTCACACTTCAGACAGAACTTTAAAAAAACGATTATTGTTACACTTGGTGCGATCGTCATCATCATCAGCCTAATTGCGGCAGAAATTAATTGACCCACACTAAAAGGTCAAGTATTTGCGCGATTTCAAATATTTAAAATAAGAAAAAAATCAACAAATTTGCGATGAAGAAGTGGGATTCGCGTCTTCAAACCAATAGGAACCGCAAAATCATTGGGAGTGACCTTGAACCACTGGGGGAGATTTAAAAAATGTAGTGTGGGTATTGGCCCATGGTGATTGGCTAATCGGAAACTTAAAATTTCCGCGAAAAATCACAACAACACCACGACAATTACGCAATTTCCAGCACCTCCACACACATGAAAGTAACAATCCCCATCCTCGAATCGCTAAAATGCGTTTGTTTGTGAAGAACATACATTTGTCTGTTTGAAAATTGCCGTCAGATTTTGCCTCAATGTAACAGTGGGCTTTGTTTGAATTCGTCGTTGGCAGCCGTTTGAATGCGTAGATTAGATGTAAGGAAACTGCGAAAACCACTCGGCAGGTGCAACCTAGGTGTACACAGAAACACACGACCTACCGTGGCATTCAAACAACGGCCACAGCTGGTTGCGCGGGTGCCTTCAAAGCACCTCTTCGCGTTCCATCCGGACGATATGGAGCAGACGATGTAGACAATGACAGCGAATAGTCCAGTAGCTCCGACGATGGCGTACACCGTGTAGTCCAAGTAGGGGAATCTAAAAATTGACAGATCTCACCGTGGTAATTCAAAGCTACAGATGACTTTGAGATAGCACGAATGGACCAATCAGGTGAGATCCAGCTGAAGTCACGCCAAAACCTAATTTAGTTGGTGATGACTGTGGTCTTGAGAATGTTTAAACAAGACGGAGGTTTTTTTCAAGTGAATCTCCATGGAAACCCACACGCACACAGCCGTACACGTGCGCAAACACACGAAATTATCGCGTAAACACCGCTTTAGAGCGGTGTAGACGATGACGATGTTAAAAATTTGGTGAAACTCACAGATGGTCAACGCCGAGGAACTCGTAGAGGCGTTTTCGGCCAAAAATTGTGCCCACTCCGAACGCGGTCCCACCGAGAAAGACGTTGATCATTGCTAGGAGCGACGCGATTGGTGAACTACGCAGACACCGCGTGAAGGTACTCTCATCTAGTCGCCATGGCAACGAAACAAACAGGAGAAATTAATTGGTCAAGAAGACCCATAGTGATTCAGCAAAAACGCGAACACCAATCACGAGTGCAGGTTCTGCTGAGTCAGGATGAACTCTACTCAAACGAACCAATAGTATGGCTTGGAGGGTAAAAGCGTGTTTATTTTTTTTTAAAGCAGCACACCGCAAAAAGGTTAGAGAGTGTGTTTGAAATTGAATTGAGTGCTTTGCAAACAAAAGGATTACCTTTTAATCTTTGCGACGACGCTATCGAGTTGGCGAACACACACGAAAACAAATAGAGAGGGTTAGAAAACAGACTAGGTACTTTCAGCATAAGTCACACAGAGTAGAGTGCTAATTACCGGGTTACGGCAATCATCGTGGCAATGTTCGCACATTCTGCCCACTGTTACCGGGCATAAATCACAGACGGGTGTTTACATGGGCACGCTGGTGACTCATGTGTGTGGGGAATTCGTGGAGGCAAAATTGCTTGGTGTTATGATTCACGCAGAAGAAGAAGTACAGGTACACTTAAGCGTTCCAGACATGGGCAATTTACCGGGACTTGTGAAATGACAAGAAAAATAGCGCGTAGTTTGGGCTGACAATTCGGGGACAGCAGTAAAGTTTAGCGGCACGATTAACACAGAACGCGTATCCAAAACAAGCGTTCAAATACCTACACATTCAAAACGACGATGAGGCAGAACCGTGTGGATTTGGGTAACTTTTGACCCAGGATCAGTTGGTGCGTGTCTAGACGAGGTCATGGCGTACCAGACTAATTCTCACACACAAAAAATTGCAAATTTTTGAACCTAGCTCAGTTAAAATGTTAGACATACAACAGCAAAGTTGTGGATTTAAAGAACTACACGCTTGTGCAGTATTTGCCTGCCAATTTAGAATTGGTTGGTGTTCTAGGCAGCTGTTCGTCTCACGGAATTTCGTGTCTGGCATGCCGCTGGACGTGTCCAATTTATGCTAACACCGAAAAGCACGTTCTGGAAAGGCTAATGCTTATTCGATAAATCAGCAAACAGAAACGGACGTGTCTAGGTTGCATCTACTTTAGAGGGACACATGACATGAACAATTATCGATCGTTTTGAGGCAAATTAAGGCGCACGATGATTGGTCGACAGAACTCCCATTCTGGGACGACCAATCAGAAACGCACAATCAATGGATCTGGGTAGCACGTGCGCACCCAGACCAAAAACGGAGGGGGTCCTTAATTAGAGGGCGAGCGATACTCATGAAAGACGTCGATCTTGAGTTCCCGCGGCCTTAAATCCAGACAATTATCTGATTTAACCAAGAACCACACAATCCAGTTTCGGCATCTCACACAAACACACGAGCCAACTTAGTCACCTCCAAAGACGTTTTTGCTAGAAAAAGTCACGAACAGTTTGCTGCGAAGAAAAACACACACGATTAAGTGGCAGTAGAGGTGTGATTGTTTAGTTCGTAAGGCGTTTTGCTTGGAAAACCAGCTGAGATTATCACACGTTCATTTCAGTGCTGGTAGAACAGAAATCTGACAGTGCAATCGGATTAGCAGTGACACGACGGCTTTAGAGGTGTTGAGAAATGCAACACGACAAACTTTGCGTTTTGTAGAATTCATCTACATCCCAAATTCGCACAGTTAATAACGATTGCCTAGTTAAGGTCAGATAGCGTTTCGATTGAGAAAATGGTGGTACCCCGAGAAAGACAACAGAACCACGTTAAGAAATTTAAAAAAGATAACAATAACAAACAAGCAGTTAAGGACGCCCAATAAGGTAGGAGTGCTTTGTGCGAATTGTCTGCTAGATGTGACGAACGAATGAACTAAGGAAAGGTAGTTTGGATTGGCAACCTGCGTACCTAAACCAATAAATGAGTTCCGTTTTGTAACTCGTAGCACTAATTCGACGATGAAGACGGAGCATTAGGGGCAATTGGGCTTAAAATGAGAATCAAACCCGTACGCACACACACGCATAAAGCAGACAGGCAGATGCTGCATGGGGTATGAATGTAACTTACATTCATAAAACTCGGACATCGCAAAGGCAATTCAATTCCGCGATGCGATGAGCGTGAAACCCAAACGACTTGCGCCAAATTATTGTAATACTGGCGACGCAAGCTGACTGCTGACCTCGCTGTGTCTCACCAACCAATGATTGCACGGCCAAGGCCAGTAGGTCGACCAATGAGCTGTGAGCGCCAGACTGGTTATAGCGCAAAGCGCTCACTAAATGGCTACGCGTATTTACTCCACTCTGATTGGCCCATTAATGATGGGTTGTTTTAAGCCTGCGTCATTGCATCCAGATGCGTGTGTGCGTGCGCGAGTGCCGGTTTGTCCGAGGGTTGCTCGTCCATGACATTTTAGGGCGGTATCGTGAATACATGGCACTTTTAAATAAACACAACCAATTGTGTTACAGGTTTGCGGTCATGGTGCCAATTCTAACTGCCGGTCAATTTTCCTGATTGGTCGACTGGGTTTCCTCTTGGTTTGTCTTCAACGACCCCGAACAAACAAAGAAAACTGCGCTAGGTTTGACTGTAGATGGAGTCCTACTGTGAGGACGTGTGCATTTTCAAAAAAAGTACATGAGAACACTCTCGTGCTAAACAGCAAATATTTGAACTCGCAAAGTCACACACTAGTGCTTTTGATGCGTGAGCATATAAACTGCTCTCTCACGATGCTATGTTTGAGAAATACAAATAAAACACGTTTTAGCCGCCAAACCTTTCAGATTTAATCTTATTTGTGGAGCAGCGGAAAGTACAATTCAAAGATAACAAATGTCTGTTATAATTTTGCACATCACTGTGCCACTAGCGATTTTTTCGCACTCATTTGTGAGCCATTACCACACTAAACGATCGATCGTAGAGAGGTGTGTGTTTAGCTCGTGTAAATAATCAGTCAAGTCAGCTGACAAACATTAAACCATGCCAGTGACCGGATTTTGTGAAATCGTAACCTTGAAGCCGCGTGTATTATCCGTGATTACGAAGGTTCATTTGAGCTAACGCAGATAGTACACGTTGCAGGAGTATACCAAGTTCCATTTTCGTGGTATCGATTATTGCACTATCGACTGCAACTCAAACTAGAAACGAGCCAATAGAATGAGAGCATGGTTGATTTGAAATGGTGTGCATAGCAGGTATAGAAATTTGCGTGTTCTAAATTGTCAATTTATGCCCAAATTACAGAGTTTTTAGATGCAGATTTCAAACTAGGAGTCCGTAATTGTACGCTGGGCCGAAGCGATAAGAATTCGACTTGGATTTTTGCGTCCGTGAACTTTAAATAATTGTGACTTGGTCGAGCGCTGGCGGCCGTGGAGTCGGAAATTTGTTTACGACATAGTTTCCTTTTGATGAATGTGCTGCAAGTGCTTTGCGATGGTTAGTCACCACAACGAGGTAGTGCAAATGTCTCCGGAATTCGTAGGATTCGATCAAATGCAGTGTTATCCGTTTTTTTTAGTTAGATGGTACTACTAACAATTTGGAAGTGACTTTCTGCACAACATGACTACTAGACAAAAGTAATCACTGCTGCCGAAAGTGTATCAAACATCGACAAATTGAAGAGCGCTGATATTTGAAGACGTGTAGTAGCTAGAGATTTAGCACTACCTTACAGCCCTCTAGTTAACAGCCCGAAAAAACCCGTGAATGGAAAGAAGAGAGGCGACAGAGAACACGACCGTTTATTAGCGTCACGCCAGCCAAATGCGTCTTATTGCGTGGATGAGTGAATGGATGACAGGCGACTGATAAGAGTAACCAATGGAAAGGGGATGAGTCATTGTCACCGTCAGGTCGGTAATCAGGGTTCACTTAGGCGCGATCGCTGTTAATCCGCTACCGACGTCTTCAACGAGATGTCAAAGATTGGCTCTTGAAATTGGAAACAGCCGTCTTGCTGACTCATCATTTTGATTCGCTGAATGCTCAAGCGAGCATTTCCACCAACGTCATCATCTTGCGGATGGATGAATTTGTGACTGAATCCAACCCGACTACGTCAAGTCAATGATTAATATCGAAATGCCATCGCCGGAATCTGTAATCTTCGTGTTTCTTTACTTGACGGCCATGATTGCACTTACGAGGTGCTCCAGCCCTAGCTCTGGTAACGGTAATCAAAGCCGACCAATCACAGCATTCGGCGGTCTACCAATAGGAGTTAAAATTATTGGGCTTTCATTTGCACACAGCAGCTTCATTATCGGGTCAAATCGATATCCAGGAAGATCACTTTGATCTCCTTTCACACTGAAGAAGCAGTCTACTTCACATCCATGAGAGTACATTTCTTCCATAGAACTTCACAATCGTGAATATCACATCTGCAGATAGATTTTCGAGTTACTAAGAGACCATGCTGGTGGTGTAGGCATAGTAAAATGAGGAGAGTAATCCCGCACTGTTAGCAAAGAATATAACTTACAAAAAACCAAAAACATTTGAGTACACTTGACCAGTGAACAGCACAACATCCCCATAGATATATTTGAAATTTTTTTTAAAAAGGTAGTCTTTCATTTATTACAGAATCCGTTAGTTCATTAAGCTGGGCGTACACCGAGGGTTGGCACAGTTGCCGGACACGTACATTGCTGGTCCGATTAATTTCGCATCAAGAGGTGCATTAAACAACTCCATTCGGAAGGGTATTCGTTGCCATCTCAAACCCAATATAACGCACAACGGCAAGCTACGAATAGTCGTCGCTGGGACTGAGGTCGTTCAAGTACCATTCATTTTCACTTATCTGGGTGCAAATTAGAAGGTAATACAGCGGTTCTAGTAAACCCCAAGTTTACATAGCATCGATTTCTTACTATGGATCTGTGTGTAAGCAATGGATTGCTCCAATATCAAATACCAGACTGCTAGAACCATGAATTTGAGCTTTTACTTCACATATACGCCATGGTGGATGCGAGGAAGAACGATCCACAACATGACCTTGAAAGGAAATTGCTGATTGGACTGGCGAACGGCGGGAGATTGAAAACCAGACAATGTGCAAAAATGCAAGGTTTTACCCAGTTGCAATTATTTTTATGAACCCCCTACCATGCTGCTTTGTTAACAAAAAATTGATTTTTTTACGTGAGAGAGGGGTACGAAGAAAGGCATGTGCATTTTAGCATTGAATGGCTAACTGTCGCGTGGTGCCCACCCATAACACCTCATGTCGTCGATGCTGACATTTCGAACTAGCAAATTCGATGACGATGTGTGCTACAAGCCTAGAACGGCACATATTTTCACCGATTTACGCTAATAGAGGTTCGAAAAATGGGAAGAGTCTGCGATTTTGTCAAATTTTAGCCGGTGACGCACCGTGCAACCTCCACTTTTTGCAAATCTTTTAGTTTAGTTTGCAATTATTGAATGCAAAGATTTTGAATTGCCTACCAACGTAGATAACGACGGCATGAACAGTTGAATTTTGACACCTTAAACATGCACGTGGCATAAATTTTTGTGAGTCATTAATTGGTAGTATTGTCGTAAATTAGGAATTATTCTTGAAAAGGATTTAAAGTCCTAACAACATGAATCTCAGTGTTATACCACACTTGTTTACCAAGTCATCGATTTTTTGCCCTCAATGAATCACTCACAATATTCAGTGCCGAACATATCGATCAAATTCGGTAGCAGCTTCCTCATTGGCTGCCTCAAACGCGTGTCTCAAAATTTAAAAAATCGATATTCTTGCTACAGGTTGATGCAGTGGAGTTTTCAATCCTATTTAGGGGTTGCCTTTTTAGCAACTGAATTGTCTTTTTTACCAATAAAATTCAGCTCAAATTCGTGAATTCCTAAGATTTACGAGTTCTGCAAGCAAATTTATGTGAAAAAACTATTCAGTGAGCTCTCGCTGTACTAGTAAATGTGTCTTTATTTAAAAACAAGCCTTTGCACAAGGCACTAACCGCGATATTGGACAAGAGCTAAGAACTGGAGAGGCAGTTGGCCCAAGAACTCACTTTAATTTGTGGCTGTCGTAATATGAGAGGAAGGAAAGGCAGATTCTGATTTGAAGACAAACAGCCTTGCCATGTTTAAATGCAGCGGCACGTTTAGGCGGGTGTTTGATTGCTCTGTAAGTTTTATTTGTGATTTAAAAATTGCTGCTGAGCGATAATCCCTTTCATAAATCTTAACTCTAACCCACCGGCTAAAAAGACCCATTTTTACTTGGACGAAAATGCTTTTTTTTGAAAATTACGAGTCCCGCTGTAGCATACTACTATTTTTTGCACAATGTTACGTAGGAAAATTAACGCTAATTGATTATTGCCCGAATACTGAGGTCGAAGGTTTTGCAATGCCTGAAGTTCACGTCGAGATCAAATCATCGATTTTTCAAATTTGAACGAATAGCCAACCAGTCATCAACTACTCATGCTGTGATTGGCCAGAGGCAGTATCGCTTTACCACTGGTTAATAATTGAAGGTTTTCCCTACACCCAAACATCCCACCACCCTTGAAGCATTTCAATATATTTCTGATACGGTAAACGTAATTATTTACGGTAGTAATGTTCAAGAAGCATACATCTGTTGTGGGCCCCAGCATGGGGTCTTGAACCACGCCTGGACTAATCAATTAACTCTGTCCCGATTACGCTTCTCTGATACCCGCGACGAAGAAAAAGACCGGAGAGGACGTGGACACAACCGTCTACTTCAGACCTCAACCACGTTGGTGTCGTGTGTGGGGTTTGCGCGTGTGTATTTATAGCTCGGATGTGTGAGTCATACATGCACTAACATCGAGACCTAGGTGCGAGGTTAATCCAAGATAAATATTCGTGCGAATGAGTGGGGAGTTGAGGATCCGCGCGGCTGGCGACATGCGGAGGCTGGAGCGACCGCATTAAGGAATGCGGACAAACACGATTCACAAAACGATATCTCGTCAGTAGTAATAATGTGATGACTCACATCTGTTTCTGCTGTTCTTGTTGTCCTAATGATTTTAGATCAAAATTATTTTCTACATATCGGTTTTGCAACGAAATCGAGTTTCGTTTAAAAGTGACACCCCGCAAGTGACCAATCCACGACGGAAGCTAATTTAACTGCAGCAACCACAAGTTCGCAATTCAAACAAGAACGGTAGAAATTTTGCTTATTTACACGTATTCTGCATTGTTCATGTAGAGGCCAGTTCGTGAAGCTTCAGCATATGCAAACAGCCAAGATCGCACATCGTTTCATGCATAAAATACAAGTGCCACTTTAATCATGTCAGTAGGTAATCGTGTAATTCCCCATCAGCAACTTTAATACAGACCAATCCGTGAAGGTACGATGAGTTTAGAAGAGCCTTCACCTCAAACCACGGAATTTCCACTTGCCAAAGTGCACAGCCAATTTCGTAAATATTATAAGTGATTTTTTTTTAAATTTGTACAAGGAGGCTATTCAGATGAAGAAAACTACCAAGAGACATGATGTTTGGATGATGAGAATGATAAAAATTACAAAATGCAACAAAAGAAGACAATCGGCAAAAGCTCGATGGATAGCGCCTAGACTATCCACTCAGCCACCGGCGGAGGGGACATCCACAATTTTGAGCAGATTGATGAGCTGCGCAACTGTCATTTGAAGGATCTGGGCGCGATCTTCAACAGGACCGCCCAACTCCTCTCCCGCCTCCTTCTCCTCCTCCTCCTCCGCCCCCTCCTCATCTTCCTTCGCGGTGCCGTCGAGGCGCGTGGAGATGCCGTGAAGGGCCGTCTCGATGCTGTCGCGCACAAGAAAGCGGTGCACTGTGCACGACCTTGAACGCAAACAGTGCATTAAAAAAAAAGAAAGACACTCGGTCCTGATTGGCTGCTCAACTCGCAAACACGAAGTTAGGAAAAAGCAGTAGATTCCACTTAACCCCGTTCCAGCCAATCATCGACTGAGGACAGTCTAAGCGGGGGGAGGGGGCTTAAAAGGTGGGCACCACGTCGACACTCACCTTCGTTGGCCTATTCGATGTAGCCGAGCGATTGCCTGCACCTCACGACCGTGATTGAGGACAGGGTCGACCAGAAGGACGTGATTGGCCTCCGTGAGATTAAGACCGTTCGCGCCCAGCCGGATCGGCAGTAGGAGAACCCAGGTGCGCGAACCATAACGCCGAAATCCGCTCAGAGTTTTGCCGTCGCGCGCCTTGAAGAGGGTGGCGAAAGCAATGCCATTCTGATCGAGGGCACGGCCGATCGTGTAGAGCACTGATATCCACTGAGGGAGCGCGTGAGAGAGAGAGAGGAGCTTGGTTGGGCGGGGAGGGGATGGGGGGTTTGGCGGAGTCAGCTCAAAACTAAGGCAACTTACGGAGCTAAAAACGACCGCCTTGGCGTCCGCGTCATTTGCCTTGATTCGCCTCAAACACCGAATGACCTCCTGAATCTTGGAGCTGTGGTCACCCTTAATTAAAGAAAGGTAAGAACATGGGATGCAATCAACCAATAGAAAACTCACCTTGACCAACCAATCAAACACTAGGTCGGAGACAGGAATTTTCTACTGCTTCCAGCCAATCAAAGCAAAAAAGGCTGTAAAGCCACACTGCTTTTCGGATGCAGATTTACAGCGGCGGGAATTTCCGCCTTATTCGGGTGCGATGAGATTTCAAATTACGAGCTCGTTGAGATAGCCAATAGAAAACCAATTTTGACAAGCCGATCGAAAGCATTGGTGTCAGGTCACAATTCAAGCTTGCTCGCTAACACCAAGTCTGATGCAGACTTACAATAACAGGAATTTCAACCTGCTTTAGGTCGGATGGAGCATTAGCTGACTGGGCTTTCTTTCCCATCGTCGTGAAGACGTACTCACGTGTCATGAGACACCCAATAGGAAATTGACTCTGACCAACCAATCAAAAGGAAGACCAGCTGCAAATCACACTTCTTGACAGACACAAACCCACAAGGGTGCGATGCTGCATCAGCCAACGCAGGAGAAATATACTCAAGCGTTTGTCAGACAACCAATAAAAAACCGACCTTGGCCGACCAATCTAATGAAGGCTCAGTGTCAGGTCTCATTTCTTACTGGACTCGTATACTTACAATAACGGTAATTTCCTCCTCCTTCGGATCAGATGGGGAATCGGCCGACTGGGGCTTCTTTCCACCGTCGTAGTGGAGCAGGGTGAGAGGTCGACGCTTGGTGGCGTTGGAGGCTGCCTCGAAGGGCTTCCTGCAGAGGGGGCAGCGTCGTTGGCTGGGCACTCCATGAGCCTGGATGCGTTCGTGGCAGGGGAGGCACAGACTGTGCCAACATCCGGGAAGCAGGACAAAGGTCGGACGCGAGGGCGACTGCGCTTGCAGACACGTCGGACACTCGAGGGCGCCGACACCGGATGTCGCGGACGACGTGGAGTGCTGTTGGAGGGCGTTGCGCAGGAAGGAGAGGTGACTCAGACGATTCTGGAGGCTGGACCAGGTGGCGAGGGCGTCCACGCTGTGCTGGTGCAGCTGGGAGTCCACCTGAAAAGCAAACGTGTGCACACGCACCAATCAGATTGAGCGAGGGATCGGGCAAAAGCCTACTCACCTCCTCGGGTTTGATGAAAGCCAGTTCGGCTGGACTGGTGGCTTGAAGACGCAGAACGAACTGCTCTGTGTCGTCGTGGACGTTCCACCATTCCTTGGTCAACATCTGCACGCGTCCAGTGTACTGCAGGGAGAAAATACGATTGGTTTTAAGCCACGGGGAGCAAATTTCTAATGGGCAAGACGACGCGTCCAACGTACTAGGAGCTCACGAAAGAGCATCTGAACAAGGCGCTCCAGCTTGCCAGACAACGACTTCACCCAGCACTCCTCGTAAGGTTCTCGGACGCGAGCCACCTGCGCAGCGACCGTCTGCAGAGCCACGATGAAGGGGTTGATGAGAGCGACAGACTTGAAATCGCCGCTAAGGAGGTCGTCGTCGTCGGCTTCGTGTGTTGCCTCAGCGTCGTCTAAGATGCGCTCAAGCTCGACGCGTCGCTGCGCCCGCGCGCTCCTAGTGGTGGACTTCTCGTGGTTGATGGCCTGTCGGTAGACGTTGAGGGCTTCGCTGGCGACGCAGTAAGCACACTTCGTCGCGGGCGAGCGCTTCTGGCGTTTGCGCGGTGATGGTTTGGGGGATTTGGGAACACCCGGTTTCTTACCGGCGTCTTCTCGTTGCTGCTGTTGTTGATCGTCTCGGGCGCAGCAATTGTAGTATTTCTGTAGCACCTTGCGGTCCGCCTCTCCACTCTCCTGCACATTTTACACAAAGATAACCACCTTCACTTTGCTACTCTGTGGGCCCAGACTTAAACACACACACACACTACTCAACAACAGGTGTGCTTACCAGGAAGCAATTCCACGTATGATCGAGAGGCGCCATGGCCTCTCGAAGTCTCCTTCTCGCGTCTAGCGCTGTCTTGAGTTCGGAGAGTAGGAGAGCCTTGAACATCGCACCGGAGCGCGTCTGGAGAAGAGTCGTGCTATAAAAAAAACAAGATAAGAAAACAGATATATTACTGATAAATATCGGCTTGAGAGAGGTGGCGACAAGCTGCCTACCGGAATTGCGAGCGTCCCTGCAGACCGGCTACAACGATGAGCGGAATCTGCTCCAAAACGTCGGCTTCGCCTAGGATGTTCAGAGCCTCGTCAAGCCACATCAACCACGGGTCCTGATTGTCGCGCGTAGCGGGGAATTCCGACGGGGACAGGCTCTTCTCTACGCGTGCCACCATTGGATCGAGTTTGTCGCGGGCTTTCGCGAGGAGACGCGAGTGTAGCTAAGAAAATGCACCAATGGAACCTGTCACTCGAGAAACTCACAAGTACCCAACCGAATTCGGGTAATTTTTAGGAGAAAAATTGGTTCGAAAACATTCAAAATCCAGTGAGCCAATAGGAAGCGCAGGCGAATTTGATTGGCTGATGGATTGCGTAAGCGACTCTCCTATTGGTAATTCAAATGGTCATAATGGAAGCTATAGGACAGATCACGAAGATGCACAATACTTCATTAAAGTAAAATTTGACTGTGAATGACGGCTCCTACTTAATCTTATAAAATCCACTATTGAGGCTGAGTGGCTAACCAGACAGCGGTCGGTTCCCCAATAAGCCAATCAAAAAAGGCACGCGACAGTGATTGGCTGGTGAATCTCGATAGCGACTAGAGACTATCAACAGACCACGATGATGCACATTGCCCCACTTAGCTGCAAGTGGTTTGAAATTCGACAATTTAAATCCGGCAAACGAGACAGCGAGTGGAATTTGGAAATGGCTACCTGTTGAAGCAAACGATTGGGAAGCCAGTGAGGGTGACTTTCAAATTACTACTTCAAGCAGGGGGAAAACTGACAGATGTGCGTAAATGTGAGACCGAAGCACACACACCTTGAGGTAGTCCATTCGCAGGAGTTTCGCTTTCCACACAAGGTCCCTATCAACACGCGGATCAAGCTGCTCCCACGTGGGTAATTCACTGGATTCCAAACCTTCAGAAAGCGCCGCCTTCTTTTCGACAGTTGGCTGAGGTTCATATTTTTCCAGGGGCACAGAACAGCACTGGATGAGCCAGTGGAGGTTGGTGATGGAGTGAAGACGCTGGCTCCAGTCGGCCAACACACCATGTCTCGACTCCAAAGTGGTGGCTGTTCGCAGGACCTCGCGGTAACAGGTTGCGGCCTCCATAAACTACAGTTTTAAAAAAAGGGTGGACTTCAACACGTACTACGTTACTCAAATACCACGAGTAGCAAGTGAGGAAGGGGGCACAACTGACCTTCTCCTGAAGAATGAAGCACGCAGCAGCACCGTTCTTGTTGAACACCCAGGTCCGGTAATTGGCCTCGCATTCTTGATGCACGTCGTCAATCACGCGTCTGATGACATCGCTCATTGTCGCACAGCTAAAAGGTGAAATAAAGTTCCTTTCAAGTCACGTACACTCAAGGTTGACCGAGCCATGATTCTGTCCACATTTTGGCGACCAATGCGCAACCAGCTCACTAACGTTTCTCATGCGCCACGAAACCGCAGTCCAATTATCGATTTTCGGACGTTGAATGCGAGCTTTTTAAAGTTTTCACGGTGTGTTAATGTGGATTTTGGAGGATACAGTGAAGTTTGGGTTGATTTAAAGACCGGAGTTGCCTTTCCACGCACCCAGTGCCCTGAAGCCTGCCACTTCGTGACACCTGAAGCGTGGGGTCAGCTGACGGTCGAAATCCCGTACACCTGCCCCGCTCCCTGCGACCAGAGCATGCGCCGGAGGTCGACTTGCCGCCACCTCGGCCGCCAAGGCCGGCGGTCGAGTTGATGACCACGAGACTGGCGTGGGTGCAGGTCTGGCGCGCGCGCGTTACCAGAGCAACTAGACGCCAGTGCACACTGCCGGAGAGCGTAGCCAATGGGCTGTTGAGGTCGCAGTTGGGTTCCTCTGCCAGAATCTGGTGCAAGGCATCTGCACAGTCGGATAGCACACGGTCGTGGATGTAGCGTTCGACGGTGGTGAAGTCGACCCTGAGGTGCAAAAAAGGCAACAAGTCAGCCTTGATAGGTGATGAACCAATAGACCAGCGCAGGCCTTGAGCTGACCAATGGATTTGCTCGGTGACGGAGGGCAATTTCAATTGGTCGCCGATGAGGGCCTTCGTGTTACGCCACAACAGTCGGGAGAACACACGGACTAGAGCGGTTGTACTGATGCGCGTGGTGAGGTCTACACCTTCAGCCGACCGAATGGCCTCTATGAAAGGCTGGTAAAGCATACCGTTCCAGTAATGGCGATAGGAAAAGGGTTCCACACGGAGGTACGCCAGAAGACCGTAGAAATCTACAGGAGAGATCAAAGTAACGGGGTCACCATGAGGTGGTACAGAGAGGGTGTGTAAGGTGCCTGTCACGTGACACCGCTAACTAACCAATGAGACTCTTTTCAGCAGGTGTTCCGGTAACACACCACCGATGGATTGCCCGAACCTCCGAGAGCATGCGAGCAGTCTTCGACGTGACACCTTCCACCATCTGGGCCTCGTCTAGACAGATCTGAAAGCAAACACGTAAGGTGAGGGTGGCGGCGGAGGAGGAGGGGGAGGGGGTGGGGGAACGAGACAAGACACGCACCCGCCACCAGATGACACAAGCAAGCGGACTGGGCGGTGCGAGATAGCGCTGAGCAGTGCGCAGGCTCGGTCGATGGCCTTCACCAACTCGCTGCTCCGTCGAAACAGCAGCCCAGCCGAGTTCGCGTTGGATGACCGTGTAGGTGGTCAGTACGATGTCCGCGGTCGCCAATTCCGCCGGCTGAACGAACCCCGGGGTAAACACGACCTCCCCCGTCTCGGCGTTCTTCGTTGGCGTCGACGTCCAGGCCGAGGTGTGAGTGAGTCGGGTGACTGGACAGGTCAGGCCTTCGTATATCTGTTTAACACGAACAGAAACGCTACATCAGCTAATTTGGTTGATTCAGCAAACCGAAATTGTGACTCGCTGTTAGGCAAGATTCAGTCACCGCTAGGCCTAACAGGGATAGATTATCGAGAGAAAACTTACGAGAATTTTGAGGTGAGAAGTGTCGACGTGCTGCAACAACTCGTCTTGCCACTGGCGCCAGATGTGGTCTGGTGAGATAATCAGCGTGGCCTTAGAATGTACACGTAGCTACAAATGCCAAATGCGACGCCTGAATTTCGTGATCTATTAGCGACCAGCCAGCCAACCAGCCAGGCAACCGGTCATAGGAGCTTACTTACACTGTTCCAGCAAAGCGGACATATGTAGTTTTGCCGAATGCACTTCCCGTCAGCTGTTCCGATTAACCGCTTAAACTGCACACAGGCCTCGTGTTGGAGGGAGGCGGACGAACAACGACTGCACGAGACGGTACCACTCTGTGGTGCGATCGAGGCATCGACGCCACCTCCACAAACACAGAAGACACTCTCCTCCACCATGGGCTCGGTTGTCTCAGTGTTGGACGGCGAAGCTGGAGATTCGAAGTGACTCAGCACATCATCCTCAACTTGACGATAGGCGAATTCACCAACTAGGTCCGACTCGGTGTTCAGGTCATAGAGAGGCTTGTCTGATTGGTCTTCACAAGGTCGGAGGAGAATGACGGAGATAATTTCAAGGGTCTTGCCTAGACCCATTTCGTCTGCAAGGATACCACCGAGGCAGGCATCTGTCGGCACGTCGGGAAGTGCTTTTCTGAAACTAAACCAACACATTGGCGATTAGGCAGCGTAATTTTGACTTGTCTATCTGAAACCTAGCCTAGTTTGCAAGCAAATTATGCCAACGTCGATAACAAATGTTGGGTGAATCAATATGCTCTATAAACCAGGCTCAAACTTAAAAAAAGCAGCTAGAAATCGCGTTGCCAGTAAACCTAAAAGTGAGAATTAAAGGAATTCACATTATCTCATTGCAAAGTTTGGGTATTTCGGATAAGAAGACAGTGCGATTGACACAGAAAGAGCTACTTGAGGCTGTTATCAGCAAAAGACTTACTGTCCAGATAAGGCCGAAAAGAAAAGGTTTTCGTCGTTTATTTTTACAAAGTAAGGATATATCCATTTTTGATCGACAATTGGAACAGAATTGCCTTCCCTAAACACCATCCAACGAATTGCGTCAATCTGATAGGGCAGGAGATCAATTTTAATTTCCTTTGGTTGAACTATGTTATGGTCGTTCCATTCGGCAGATTCGCGTATATGGGTAGATTGAATTAGCGCGTAAAATGCCTTAAGTGACGTGATGAATTCTTCCTGCGTCTCTGATAACTGTGAAAACAAGGGAAGCCGCAGGCTGTCCAAGGTAGCATCTTGAGGCCAAATTTGCAGGGTGATAAAGTTGAAGAGTTTATCAAATTGCTGCTGGCTAGTCGCGTACTGAATGAAATTGGGTGTGTCGAAAATGGCAGAGGATTTGACACAAACGTCAACCTGAAGCTGATCAGCAACTACCGTGCCGTGGACAGAAAGAGAAGCTGACGAAAGTCCATAGAGGATAAAGCTGAGGTTTGGTAGATCAGTCATGATTACGAAGCGTTCTCGAGAGGCAGCGTCTTCAAAACACAGTGCCATTTGAGGAGAGTCGCAAAAATAGATATCGACACGGCGAGCGCGCTTAAAGTACACTAGGAGAGATGCAGAGAAAGGCAGAGTGACTGATTGGAGGCAGTTAGATCTGTGACATGGCCCACAATCCATGAACACGGTCAGAGAATGGTCAAATGAACGAGAGAGATCAAGGCGAGCATCTGGAATGTTTTTGGGTCGTTTCCTACATTGCCTCGGGGTATCCACCTGAGGCAGCAAAACGGGGATGTGCGTAAAAGATAGAGCAGCTCGAGCGCTTTTAGATAGAAAGTACGGCGGCGACTTTTGACGCATTCTACAAGTGGCCCAAGGAGAAAAAAAGATGAACACACGACAATGCCGATAAATTAAAAGCAGAAATAACAACAACCGATTTCTGAGAATGCTAGCACTTAGCTGTGCAGCATATATGTACAAAGTACCATAACATTGCATGATTGAGAAATAAAAATGAATCTTATGCTTCTAGAACAACGATAACATCAGTAAAAAAAGACGACAAGAAAGTAAGCGAAAACATTAAAAAGTTTACCAAAAGCAATAAATTTTCGCCAATTTTCGGTAAAACAGAAATCCTAAATTGTGTACAAGATAACGAATTGACGTTGGAGGAAAAACACCCACCTACCTTTATTCCAAGTTTTTCTAACTAAGGTCCAGAAACTTAAGAAATGAATGACAAAATCGGCATTTTGAGAGTACGATAAGGTAAAACAACTTTTGATGTGACTACACAAGGATCCAAGTTCGTGATTGTGGCATTTTGGATTGGTACATGAAGGCTGAAATCGAGCAACACTGATCCACAAAGGTCAAATTGGTCGAGTTAAAAATGACAGTTTTTTTGATGAGCTGTAGAAAGTTTTTTACCTTAGTGAATTATTGCTTTTTATAATTATTAGAAGGTTCATTCCCCTTACACATTTTACAATACGTGCCTTCAGAATGGAATGAGTTTAGCAATATCCTGCACACAACATAAACAGTATATGGTTTAAAATTTTAAAATCGCTATAGTAAAATAATATGCTTTGTTGTAAAAGCAGTACCGTGGCTGTTTGAACTCGTCATGTTTGCTCGCAGGCAATACGTTCGACAAGCCGCTCACTTCAACATCGGTACGGGTAGGTGAAGCTTGTATCCCCCCGAATTTTAGCCAGATGTTCGAGGCATTAAAAGAAAAGATTGGTATTAATTTAATTCATTGAAATAAATTTTTTGTCGCTTGTTCATAGTTTTTTTGAAACTGGTGGCTTTTCCTCTATTATGCTCATTCTTGAATACATTTCGATTTTGTATGAAATCATAGTTATTTTTGAAATGTCTTTTTGGATCAATAGCAAACTTGTAAGATTCGAACAACCGTCTCCATTCTCATACTTTTAGTCTTAAAGATGCCATTTTTCCCGTTTAGCCTCTCCAATGGATGAATTGGTTGACGAAAGGGAAGAGCATTACCGGTTAGTTTCCTCTCTATATAATTTCACTTATGTCTAGTGTTAAGCCTCAAATGTGATTCTCTCTGGGTCGGCTTCATTTTGTACTGCAATCTTAGTGTTAGTGACTTCTAGTAGTTCAATGTTTCCTTTGATGTCATTGAACATTGATCTTTACTAGACCATTGTCTCAAATTCACACAAGGGGGAAAATCCCAATTATTGAACTCACAACTAACGATTATCCACCAATAATATTAAGAAGAATTGGAAATAAAATAGCCGATAAAATGTATTTCAAGTTAACGTGTCGAACGACGAAAGCGTTCAACCATTCATAAACATTATTTTTCCAATCAAAATTTTCTTTTACCCACAAGAAATGTGAATGAAGAACTTAACGAAAAGGCATCACGGCTAATAGAAGAAGCCAATAGCTTAATTGTACGTTGCAGTGATGTTAAACTGACTGTTTCTGACAGCATAATGTGACATTGTCGGTCGCCACGCCAATATCTGACCAACCATCAACAGTGGAAGCCTCACAGCCAAAACCAAATGTCTCCACAGCGGTAAGAACTTGTTAACCCATCAGAATCTGCCTTTGGATCAACATTCGATATTGGCTAGCATGGCAGTTCCTTCAGTTTTTAGGTGTGAATCGTGACCCATTTTATATTCATTTAAGCACCTACACGATTCCGGGCTCACACAACTTTAGGTGGAAGCTTTACCTCACCAATATTATCTTTATATTGCAAAGTATGTTGACGTTTGGTGGTGTATGTGTAATTCGCCAACTCAACCTTTTTTGAGTGATATTACACTTGCCGGTTGATCACTTCGTTGCTTGGTGACAGTTCGCATAATCCTTCAGATGCTAATCAGACTTCATTGCGGTCCGCAGTGATGAAAGAAAGTATGCGTTTTGTCAAGCAATCTTCGCCACTCACACTTCACGTCCTTTTCTCATTCTCGGCTCCCGTATCGCTCTTGTGCTATTTTTATACTTCAGGTCAAAAATGCCTTCACATTAACAGCCACAAACCAACTTACATGCATTTAAATCTTAAAGTAAGGTAGTGGTGGTGAGGACACTGCTATGTAGGGAAGAATATACTCTTTTACATTGCACTCAATGTTTAAATTGACCCACAACTACCGCTACCGCAACTGTCAGCACACAAGTTGCTATTTACAGATTATCGAATCAGCGTTCCTTACCCTGGTCGCGTGTGTCTCATTTATCATGCATTCAATAACAACGAAACTGTTTCAACAATCTAGGAAGCTGACAGTTGCGGTAACGTTTCAAATGAGGATCACTTGCCTGAGGTGATTTCTAAACTCGGAACGAACGCGAAGACCCGGTACCTAGTAGCAAAAGTGCGTGTACTGGAGGAGGAGAATGCGAAGCTTCAGGTGGAGGTTCGCTCTTCGGTGAGCGCTGCACTAACAACAGTAATTCCTTTTTTTGACGTCGTCTCAATTAATCCACATCGCCTACTTTCAGCATGACGAAATCGCAAAACTCTCAAGTCAGCTGCAGGAGGTGAGTCAGGAGAGGGCCCAGCTGCGGCGTCAGCTGACACAGAACTCCTCCCACCTCGAGCGTCTGCGTGTGGACGTGGATGAGGCGAAGCGGCGCACCGAGACCCTGGCGCTAGAGAAGACGTCCATGGAGCGCGAGCTGGAGGTTGGGCGTCGTGAGAGGGAGAAGGAGAAGGCGGGTGCCCGGGCAACCGACGCCAAGCTCCAGCGTGCTCTGGACGAGTCCGAGCGGCTTCGTGGTGACCTTGAGCGGGCTCGCGCCGATGCCGACGCGGCAAGGCGTCAGACGGAGTCGCTAACCAACGAGAATCGACGCCTGGAGCGACAAAAAGCCGAGCTTATATCTGGCTTCAAGAAGCAAATGAAACTGATTGATGTACTTCGACGACAAAAGGTGTGTGCGTAGTCACTGCTGCCCAAAGTGACTCTCCAAATAGAATTCTCGAACCGAATCCTCCTAGGTCGCCAATTGTGGTTGAAAGCTCAGCTGTTTATGGTTAAAACGAATTTGATCTCTTGACAGTCCACTGGATTTGGCACACGTCGAGTATCACTTGCTTATGTTCTCCCCATAACCCGCAAATTCACCGTTTAAAACTGGCGCCTTTTGCATTTCTAGATGCTAATAGAAGCCTCACGGGCACTGAAGTTGACCGAAGAGGAATTCTTGAAAACGTTGGACTGGCAAATTGGTTGACTGTGTCGAATTCTCCCGCCTCTCCGCACTCCCTTGTCTAATCGCATTCCTCTACTTATTACACCATGCATATACCTATATCCGCACATTATGCGTATAATCTTTATTGGTAAATATACTCTATACTGGATTATGGCCTGCTGTATTTTTCGGTTCTTATTGACGTGTGTCGTGATGGGATGTTGTTGATAGTCGCCTCTGTGGTTAACCGCAAATTTGTGAGTTCAAATACACCCTCAAAAAGACATATGAGAGTTAAAAACGTGCCAAAGGGTTCTTCACACGCGTGTCTTGGTTCTCGCATAAATTGAAGCATGTCACACACTAAGTCCGTATTTAATTGCTTTTCCTGTGTACAATGTGTTTTTGTAAGGCCCGGGTATCCACCAAACTCAACTATTGCGAATGATTCCGCAGCAAACATTTCCGGTCTTGCCTTCCCCTGAAATTCTAGAATTGATCTGGTCCCATTTGCGACCGTTTCTGAACTCTGGTGCCCTTGATTGAGCAAAAACACCGCTATTCTGACGCCTCCTGTGATGTTTGTTGTTAGAGTAATGTGCAACAGCGGTGTCGGCGACACTCCAACGGTGGACCACTTGTCCTCCCTGCCCCCACCTCCACACCCCCCCGGGAAGCTGGTGCGACAGGGCGCCGAGGCGCGCATCTACGCGGTGCCCGACGGTCACCTCTCGTCGCTGCCGCAGGTGTCGTGCATCGTGAAGGAGCGCTTCGTGAAGACGTACCGCCACCCGGCGTTGGACGCGTCGTTGTCGTTGCAGCGGATGCGCGCTGAGGCTCGCCAACTCGTGAAGTGCCGTCAACTCGGCTTGCCGGTGCCGGCTCTACTGCTAGTCAACATGGCACGTCGACAGCTCTGGCTGGAGGACGTTTGCACACCGCACGGGATGTCTCTCGGTGATTGGCTCCGTGCTCTGCTGGATACCACAGCGGTGGATGCTCTGGGCAAGCAGGAGCACCTCGACAGAATGGCTCTAAAGTTGGGCCAGCTGTTAGCGAAGATGCACGCCAACAACGTCATCCACGGAGACCTCACCACCGCCAACATCCTGGTGCAGATGGTAAGGGGTTGTGATCTTGCTCGAGGTTTCGACTGCAGTTTTCTCCCATGTGTGTGTGTGTGACTTTGTCGGCGTTTTAGGATGACCCAGAGAACAAGTTCTCCAACTATCACCTCTACCTAATCGATTTTGGGCTTTCCTCGATCAACCACCGTACCGCGGCTAACTTCCACGACGAAGAGGTGGCAGTAGACCTCTACGTCCTCGAACGAGCCTTGATTAGTTCGCTGGCGACTAGGACCGATGACGTCAGCGAGGAGCCAAAGTTTTCCTTCACGCCAGAGGGTTTCTTTGAGTCACTGATTGCCGCCTATACGGAAGCCTATCCGTTGGAGGTCGTGCGTAGACCCTTCGATCCAACGCGGACCAGTGAACAGGAGACTGGTAAAAAGAAGCGGCCACGTCAGGATCCGAAATCACGAGCACCCACCCACGAAGACGGCGTTATGGAGGTCAAAGGAGTGCTAAATACTCTTAAGGAGGTCGAAGCAAGGGGAAGGAAGCGCTTGATGATTGGCTAATGTATCAAACTTCTTTTGTAACCAATTAGAAGCTGCTTTTTTGTAATGGCGCTGTCCTCGTCTGGCACGTGTCTGCCTGTTCAGTACACGAATTTCATTCTTTCTGCAACATCTCGCGTCTGAGTTAAAGGGAACAATAACTGTGGGGAGTTTAAACTCACTTAGTTGGAACCTAGTCGTACAAAAACGTTTCACGGTTTTAGGACAACTTCATTGTTAACGCCTTAGATAAGTTGAGCATTCTCTCCAGGAACAGTCGCCGTTACTGGCTTCGTCGGCAGCAAGTTTAGCTATGCAGCGTTGAGAATTGACACAATTCGTTTACGGATGTTTAATCCATCGACATAAGTACGTCATGTGTTGTTGGGACTTCAGAAATTGCGGGTGGGAACCATCTGAGATTTTCATGAAACTACTTGTCAGACCCGCAGACGTCCATTACAAACTTTTAAACAGCCAATCGGCATCGATTACGGATGGTTGTTTAGTCAGCACAAATGTGCCCGAAAGATTGGTGCCAGTAATGTCGGCAGATAACGCCCGCCTTCCATTGTAGCCAATCACAATAAACGTTTACAGATCAATAAACCAAAGCGGAGTCGACCTAAACCTAAAAATTCAACTTTTCAGGAAGGAATACCTCGTGTGGGAGCAGCGGGGGTAAAAACTATGGAAATGAATTTATTAAGATTGTTGGAAACTGACAGAATAACCACCACTGTTGGGGTCTTTTGTCAATTTGAAGTTATCAGTGGAAAGACCAAAGGGTTTGAGCACCATATTTCCCAGTTGCTTCAACTGCTGCATCATCTCTGCCTTCATTTTCTCCTGTTGAGCAGTGATTTTCTCTGGTAAAATCTAAAAACAAAGTAACATTACGCAAGATTTTCGTATACCTACAAAATAATGTAGGTAGTATTTTGTAGGTATGTACCTTAGAGGGTATAACCAAAACACACCCATCAAGCGTCATACAGAGATCAGATAATGCCATGCCATGGAACGTGACAATGCAAATTACAGTTTGGAAGTAAGCCGTCTTAGGCCAGCTTTTAAGTATTTTAATACATGGCATAAATTAGACAATAAAAAGATCCTAAAGGAGCAACAAAACGCAAATAAAACGAAAAACAGGAAATATTGCATTGCCGTTGTTAGGACAACTTACAGCGCAGGCTGCATGAGCTTTGGCGTTATAAGGATCGAGTTTAAGAATGTGTTGGTAGTCCTCAAGCGCCTCAGTTAGACGATCAACTGTCTCGCGAAGATCTGCTCGACGTAGAAGACAACGGACGTAGTCTGGAGATAATTTTAAAGCTTCATCGCAGTCAGTCAATGCGGCATCACGGTTCCCCTATTGTTCAAGGAAATAGGATTAAACAAAAAAGCTGACAAATGCAAAGTAAATTTCAATTCATCTTAGCATAAGACACTGAGGTTTGCATCTGAACAGTAAAACAGGCATCAGTTGTCCAGGTACACAACCACACATACGCAACATAACAACAAAATTACTTCAACAACCTTCTATAGGCACAGATAATTTACCAAGTGGGAATGACATGCAGCACGATTCGAAAATATCTTCGCCCGCTCCTCGGAGAATTTAAGCGGACACTTATCCAGTGCATCTGTGTAAAGTGATAAGGCTTCACCAAATGCCCTTTCCTTAAATTTGGAATTTCCATCTTCTTTTAGGAGAACCGCATCGTTTTTATTTTTCTATATATTCAAGACGAAGAAGAGATATCATACCTCTAGTTCTTCATCCGATAAATTATTTTCATATTCTATTCTATGTTTTAGTGGATCTTCCGTTTCATCTGATCCAATTCCACCATTCGCAGGTTCCTCTTCCTGAATAACTGAAGGTGCAAACTCATCTGATTTGGGAGTTTCCTCAAGGGAGCAGGCATCATAAAATTCCTCATCAATACTATCAATAAATTCATTGTCATCAGCAATCTCATCTAACAACGGATCACTCGAAGACACCTCTGCTAAATGAGTCATGTTGTCAACGCTTATGTAATGTCTAAAACGATAGCCAGTTTGAATATATGGGTTAAATACCACAAATGGTGTTTTTGGAAGGATTAAAAAATATGTCTAGTAATTCAAACAAGAAAAGTGGCAATTTTTAATAATTTTAATTAATCGAAATAATTTTTTAACTAAACACAAACACTACAACAGTTTACATTTTTATTATTTGCATAGATTTTACAGTGTAGAGTTCAAACATATTACTGCAACCTCAAAATTCAAGTGTGAAATTTTAATGCCTATTGCGGATTCGCTACTAGAGGGAATGGACTCAGATGAGTTGTATACTTGCCTTCCAAAATAGACTTTTAGTTATATTTAGCAGGGTTTTGGTCTCTGGTTGTGCGGTACCTAATTTCTCCAGAGTTCAAGGTAATTTAAAGTTCTGAACTCTCTTCCAACTCTCTTTTTTACCCAAAATCTGTTCGCTTGGCTAAAAAACCGTCTGCTCATTGCCAAAAGTGTGCAATTTTTTTATTCGATTACAGACTTTTATTTTACAACCTGTCTTTTCATTAAAATAATGCCAGACCATTTAATCTGCTAATCAAATGTTGTCTTTAAAACCTTTTTTCTAATGCTAACTTGCGTAGCGCACCGTGTTCATTTATGTTTATTTTCTTTTCACTATACTCCTGAATAAACACTTCTCTTTCTGCTGTGTGCCCATAAGCCTCTATGGACCATGAACTCATTCATGCTTGTGCTTGTACCAAAAGTAAATATTTTTTCGATTGCAAAGTTAGGACATTTATTAAAAGAATTAGTTTGCATTGTGTTAAACTTGCACAACAGTGGCACACACGACAAAGCTTACTTCAATTAACAAATTTTAGCGCCTGTGCGTCGCCCGCGCCGATAATGAAATCGTGCTATATGTAACGCAGTGGGCCCTTTTTGGTTTGAGATTACATGCCGGGGACATCAACTGTCAGTAAGGCTGACAGGATTATTCTACGCAAAGTAATGTTATACAAATAAAATCCGTATCCAATTTTTTTAAAACGCAAGCGTATCCTTTTTCAGAAAACCTTCAAATTACACTCATTCCATTTAGGTCGAGTCATTCTAACCCAAAGTGGAGTACAAATATTAAATCCTTAGCGAGGCTGAGGATAATTGTATTAGCCTCTGATCACCCTTGAAAAATCCATAGCCATGAAATATAGACGACTGGTACACCAGAAGAAGCTTTATTGGGCAATTGCAAGCTAGAACCATACGTTAGGCACCATCCATCCAAGTTCACTAAGCTGGCTACGCTGCTTTTTATATATCGCTTTTTACACGGGACTGTCTCTGGGACTGTCTTTATACGCCACTGGAACCCAGGGACAGAGAATTGACTGAGGTCAGCCTGGTCCGATATGTCTGAGCCCTTAAGTTCGCAACACCTCATGATTGAATAACAAGGCCTGTTCGGTTTTGTCATTTTTTTACTGGTGCTCGAGTAATCCACACTTGTGTCCAACGTTGGAAGCTGTCATATTTTCAGTGTTATGACAAGTAGCGGCACACACTCAGCTTAGGAAGACCGTTTATTTGGTTTGATTTAAAAGGATAAGACTTACAAATTCAGAACGGAAAATACTTTAAATCAAATATGGTCTTAAGATGCCTGCAGATTTTCTTCAATGATAATATTTGCAACTTAAAAGCCTTAAGTCAACTGACATCACAACACGAATATTTTTCGTTTATTTTGTCGTTCTGAATTCTAATATCTATATGATTATGGACCTTTGACAAAATTGCAATCTGTAGCCTTGGCCGCCGAAAATTAGCAACCTCGTAAATGTTTATTGATGTCCTTATTATTAAGTTGAAATATTATTTCTTATATAGGAATGTAATGGTTTTCCTAAGGTTTGTTTTGATGCCTACTATCTAACTACACGTAAATTCTGGTCATTTACGTTTCCTAAAATTTAAAAAGCCTTTATGTCATGAGAAAGTTTAAATAGAAATATTATTTTTTTGATTTTCTACAATTTAAAATCAGGATCAAAATCTATTTGCACACGCACTCATGGATATCGACGATAATTAGTCTTTTCTTTATGAGATTGACTTGTTGCTTTGAAAAAAGTGAATATCACAACATAATTGACTGTAAGTTCAAGTATATATGTGTTTGATTCCTTTGCTTTATCCTTGTGTTAAAAATGATAGCGGGTCTCCTTCCCTTCAGGATACGCTTGAATTTGCGGCATATAACACAATTTGATATGGATAATTTTATTATTTAAGTTAGCAAAAAGAGAGACAGTTAATCAATGGTTTATATATTCAAGGCGTTTGTATACATTATTCTGCACGCGCGATTTTAACATGCTTTATCGCTCGTACATCGTCCTCGTTTTCGCATTTTGTATTCAGTCTTTTGTATCAGCCTCCAAATTAAAAACAGTTTTTGCTGTTAACTGTGGAGGTGATGCACATGTTGATAGTAATGGTGTTCGATACGAAGCTGACTCTAACCAGCTTGGCGTAGCTTCCGACTATGGACTTAATTTGATAATGCATCGTGCACACGAGGGAGATGCTCTCTTATATCAAACAGAACGCTATGGAACTTCTACGTTCTTCTATGAGTTTCCTATACCAGCAGATGGTCAATATGTTCTTCATTTAAAGTTTTCGGAGGTCTGGTTTCACCATCCAAATGAGAAGGTACTGTGTGCCTAATACAATGGTCATTTCGTAATTAGTAATCGTGAGTATCATTTATCATGGCTTCATTTACTTCAGGAAATTAGATTTTAGCTGCCTAGTGGTTGCTCATCTTTTTGCTGCCAAGATTAAGCTTACATACCTATGTAATGATTTTCCTTTGGTTTGTTTTGATGCCTAATATTTATCTATACGTAAATTCTATTCATTTATGTTTTATTTAAATTAAAAAGCCCCTTTACTATGCGAAATTTTGAACAAAATATATGATTTATCTAAATTTCAGCAATTTAAAATCAGGAACTAAATCTATTTGCCTAATTTAATGTCCGTTACGTAATTGGTAGTCGCGAGTATCACTTATTATGGCTTCATTTACTTTGGGAAATTGGATTTTAGCTGCCTAGTGGTTGTCCATATTTTTACTGCCAAGATCAAGCGAATGTTTGTTTTCAGTTTTACATTCACCAGTTGTCCAAAATGTTCGCATTTTTGGCGCCATGTCTGCTTCTCCATTAACACACTATTTTTTTGAATGCAATTTTAATTGGTTGCACCAAATTGAATTTAATATTCTTTAAACCAACGATTGTCTAGCTATGAACTCAGTTGAGTTTTTTTTCAGGTGTGTGAAATTTAGCGCATTTTTTCCTCGTTTCAAATGAGGTAAACCTATATACTTAACGTCTCTTGACTTGTAGGTCTTTTCTGTGGAATTAAACAATGGTTTAAGAATTATTGAAGACTTGGATATTTTCCAAACAGTCGGGTTTTCCATAGCTCATGACGAGAACATTCCTCTTACAATTAAAGACAACACCATTTTCGTTGGCGATTCGTCTACTAAACTCAATATCGGCGAGAAATTCAGGATTACCTTCGTAAAGGTAATATTAATGAATCTTATTCTTTGCTACTTTTACAGTCGTTGTTAAAGCATTCAAATGTTTGCGTTATTATAATTTAATGTTTTTTTGGATTTGCTGGCACAGGCTGTCCTCTGCCTACTAAACACGATCGTATGTGTGGCTATGTAGTTCTTTCGTTCATCTAATAAATTGTATACAAACAAATTTTGCATTACGCGGACGCAGATTTTCCTGTATTTAATTTTCTGCTTCTCACAGCCTGCGAATGATCGTTCTTTTTGCAATTTCAACAGGGACATCGCGATAACCCGAAGGTGAACGCCATAGCACTCTTTGAGGGCTCAATTGATGGTAAGACATGCCAATCTGATTTTGTCCTAAAACACACGAACTGGAATGACGGAGGTTAACTCTTTTAGTCTAAGTGTTTTCTGTACTAACCAACCATGTTCCTTAAACACGGACTTCATTTGCAATTGATTTTTAAAATTCCTATCAACAGTGTTTTAAGGGTGGCGCAAGCACTATCGGTGATTGTCCTAGTCCACGTTGCTCCCCTCTACTGTAGATATCCCCAAATTGCCCCCACTTGACTTTGACGACGAGGAGGAGTCATTCATGAGACCACCAATCAGTGACGAGGACACCGAGACGTCGCAACAGCAACCAGTCATCACCAAGCCATCGCGAAAAGCGCCTGTTCCGCCCTCTGTCAGCAGGCCTCCTGCACCAGACCCCTACGCCTCTGCCGACTACTCCACTTATATCCTACCCATCGCAGTCACCGTCGGCACTTTCCTGCCTGCGATCTACTGCCTGTACAGACTCTAGGCACACTTCAGCCACTTATCAGCGTACCTGCCTTTACTACTTGTGCCACCATCCCTTTGTACCTTACCTATCGATTGTTGTGAGCAGCTTTTTGTGATGTCACTCAACTGGGCTGGGCTGCTGATCTCACGCCTTCGAAAGTGGCTGTTAGGGCTAGTAGTTGGCAAGATAGCTGTTGGCCGTCGTTCCATAGTTTTTAATTACTAGCACGGAAACAGCGAGTTAGGGGTAAAAGCGACGCTTGTGTAGTTCGTAGTCCCAGGGAACGCCGGTGCGCCTGTGATACGGCTCATAGATGTCCTCCGGGTAGAATCTCGGTTTGCGCCAATGAGCGTTGAGCATGTTGTCCAGGCAGAAGCTGAGTGCGCGGCTTGTCAGAATGTGCTCATCCCTTTTGGCCACCACCCACGGATTCTTCCTACAGTCAAACGAAGCAAGCCATAAAAATAATCGGGAAAGGCGAGAAAACCTGATCGATAAGCGGGAGTCGGTATTCCTATGCCAAAAGTGGTTTTGTGCACGAAGTTCACTCCTGAATGAACCCACCAATCACTGCTGGGATTCGGTTGCTAAGGCAGCCTAAATTGTAGCTCACTAGGCAACGCACGCGCGTGTCACAGCTACTGCGAGGTTGTGAAATGGCAAAACAGTGCCAATCACACACAAAATGGAATGCGATAAATGAATTAATCAATTTGACTCAAGTTGACACTAACCCTTACGCAACCAGAAAAAAAGCGAGGAAATTGCCGCAGCCAAGTTAAAAAGACGCGCACGAAATTGCCACATTGAATTAGTTTAGGGAACTGCACACACGATTAAAAAATGTCATTTTTTTTATTCGGAACAAGCAAACCATTTTGGCAAAGCAGACAGGCAGTGTTGACCAATAGGAGGACAGAACGGAAAAAGAAAGTCTCCACTTACTTCGTCTGGCTACTAACAAAATATAAGTAGCATGTTTTAGCTTCGAACCTCACCTGTACAAGTGTTTCCTGCGTCCGGCACGCGGATGAATGTAGGCACCCCAGCGCAGGCGCTTGAACCGATCGATAACGACTTTCACGGGGGGATCGTGGGTACCATCCTCGGCCCAGTAGCGCTTTGCCTCCTGCCGCTGAACCCCGCGTGCGGGCTGCACACTGACCGATGTCACTCTAATGCAGACAAAAAATACAATAAAAAAGGGGACGGTAAGGCTAGCGTAACACACAACAAGCAACAACAATTAATCCTAGTAATCTCATAAGAGTCGTTTTACTGATGATTGACGGTTTCGTGAGAGCTTGCAGTCCGACTACGTAATCGCC